TTTTTAAATTTAATAGAGACGCATTGATCGTGCTATCATATACCATTCTAATACCATTGCGAATTACTGTATTGTTTGGAATGCTCACAATTAAAGACACGTTATTTGAAAGATGTATGAATAATTTTTATATTACAATGTACATCTTTATTCTTTCCCGGTATAATTTATGGCGTTTCTTACGTCACTTGGCAATCGCGTCATTTTATAATGATAGTCAAATTGATCAAACGAGACTCCGTTTTGATTATAGTCAATTATGAAATATTCATTGATTTATGACATACACCTTTGTTTCAATTTTGATACTTCCTGTAGACCTGCCGAGCAGCAGGAGATATCAAACTAACCCAAAGTATAAAAGATAAAGGGTAAAAAAAATCAAAAAGTTATGTGCTAGTCAAGCTTTCAGGGATCGGTCTGAGCCATAACAATGCCCCAGCCGATCCCTTAGTTCTCTTCCGGGGTCTCGGCGTCCCCGACCAATACACACTTCCTTCCCTATCCATCCATATAACCCCGGAGGGCCAGGCACCATGTAAAAGCAAAGAGCTAAGGGAGGAACAGGGCGGCCCCTAAGCCCTGATCCTCCGAGTGGACCACATGCCCTGAACCTGTACGAAGGCGCCAACCTGGAACTCGCGGACAGTACCAGCAGCAGTGCTTACCGATTAAGCTAAGGTACTGTTGGTACTTGACGACGGGAAATTAAATCTCTTATAGTGAATAATTGAACTCATTCGTTAAAAACCAAAAAGACACCAGCGGGATTCGAACCCGGGACCCCGCTAACCGTGGACGACGAATCGTAACCACTCGGCCATTTCGTTACCTTAGAATTTTCCTCAAACTGAGAAAAGTTGTCTTTATAGGTGAGCAAACGCGCCAGGAAGATTACTGGGTCCATTTGCTTTACCTTAATGGGTAAAAACAAGTCGATATAATGAGCCCAGTGTGTTTGGTTTGTTAGGAAGCTGCATAACACAGCCTAATGTGCAAAACAGTCGTGTGCTAGGCGGATCATTACGCAACAATGAACACCGCAATTGTGTATTTTCAAAAGGCAGACGCGTAGATTTCTACTGTATCTGGGCACATTTAGATTCTCACCTCCCTCTTCAGCTATTTCGACTTTCTTAAAAAGAAAAATAGAGACTGTCAGCGAATCTCCGGGAGGTGAAATAAGGATCGTCCCCTCGATAGACCTCAGACTCAGTAACGTTCAACATTGGGCTATTTTCAACAGCTGTTTTTGCGGAAACTTTACATCTGGATTTTTGTAGAAGCATCTGATTTTGCCCAATTTTATTAAAATATGCTCCAATTTTTGCTAAATAGCAAGGTTAACCCCTTACCATTTTAGATTTTTCATACAAATCTGATTTTGACAAATTTTACTCAGTATACAAGTTACACCTCTTACAATTTAAAATGTTTCATAAACATTTCTTTTTGCCCAATTTTGCTAGAAATATAAGGTTAAGCCCTAACAATCTGCAATTTTCCAGAAACATCTGATTTTTCCCGAATTTGCTAAAAAAAATGCAAGGTTAACCCCTTACAAGTTGATTTTTTTCATAAACATCTAATATTGCCCAATTTTACATTCAGCTTATGCTAACAAATTATAAGGTAACTGGATCATTAAACGGGACAGGTGCACATCGGCCTTGGAGCTCAGACCATGTGTCATGTACTCCTCAATGCATATATGGTGCACATAACACTATGGGTAGTACATGCACAGCTGGGGGTACTGCCCAAACAATGATGAACGCATTGCGTATGCTTAAAGAATTACCCACAATTCCGGTTTTTACCGTTTAGGTCTGGCTCTAATCACTTTACGCGATCCCCTGACGTCTCATACACTGACTTTAGGCAAAATAGTCAGACTTTCGCGGTCTTGTAACCAGACTTTGACTCTTAAAGAAACATCGAATGAAAAGGGAAATATCAAATGCATACTGCAAAAGATCGAATGCAAACATACCGATGAAACATCGAATACAAATAGCTCGAAATGTCAAACATATGTGTGAAACATTGCTCACATATTTGAGAATATTGCAAATATATTGTAGAACAACACACACAATTGTATCGAAAAACATCGCACATTTAATGCAAAAAATCGAACATAATATTGAAAACATCGCACATATACATGTATATCGTCAAAAACATCGCACATATAAATTGAAAATCGCATATAAATGTAAAACATCGCACACATATATTGAACATCGCACATATATTGTAAAACATCGCACAAATATATTAAACATCGCGCAAATAATAAAAAACATTGCACACTTACATTGAACATCGCACATAAATGTAAAAGATAACAAACACATATTGAACATCCAACATATATATTGCAAAATATTGAATATTGCAACGTTTGACACGCCATATAGGACTGGTATAATCAATCACCGCCTACGATAAAATACTTGTGTTACACTATCTCAACGACTCATTAACTGACAGTTACTGAGAATCGGGTGATTGGGAACCACTAGTCTAGTAGTAGTAGGGAACCACTACTACTAATGAATCCTTTTGTAAAACAATTGTTTTCAATCGACAGAGGGCGCACTTCACAGGACCACAGCGCGCATATATCGCGAACGATATCCGCGGTACATTACAGAAGTACAGAATCGTTCGCGCTAGAATCGATACTCGTTGAATAAACACAGTGAATAAGTATCGAATACATTGCAGAATCGACAACAGGTTTTTCATCGCGGGCTGTGCCTGTACTAGTGCAATATAATTTTCGCGCGGAGAAAAATATTCAACGAAGGTTTTGGAACCAAGACTATGGTACCACCCGATCACAGTTTTAATTAATGTTTTGTTTGATAAGGTCCGTTAATTAACTCCGCCAAGGAGGTCATGTTTTCACCGGAGTTGATTTGTGTGTTGGTTAGTTGGTTTTTCTGTGAACAAGATAACTCAAAAAGTTATGAACGGATTGTTCATAAAAATCTTTTAAAGGATGGTCATTGGTACCAGTACAAACGGATTAGATTTTGGAATTGATCCGAACCTGCGTCTGGATGCAGCATTTAAAAAAAATCATTTGTTTTACCCATCATATGGGAAAACTTTCACCAGATCGCTCTGTGTGAGCATGAGCTCCGTGTGCGTGGCACTGACCCGGTCACTCTGTATTATCACCCACCTAATCTAACCACACAGGTCAATAGACAAGACCATTTTATACAATGGGGGAGTGGAAAGGTAGACTGCAGTTTGAGTTGAAGAATGTGTATTACTGTCTTACACGATATAAAGCGGCCAACATTGCTATTTTTCCATAAATGTTGACATTTTAAATGTGCAATATAATATGGAAATCCAGTGGATATGTGAGTATTTCTTTTGGGTGTACTGACAATATGGCGTGGAATGGAGGAGTACTTTCTAGTTGTAAATGTTCCTTATCATAATTATGGTGAATGGACATGAATCAAATCAAATTAAGGGGGAAAAAACAAAACCCGATCACTGTTTTCAGGTCGTTAACTTTTGTTATGGACGATAGTTCCTCGCGGCTTTAGTAAACGTCCTCACATCGGCGTCTGTAATTGTCAAACTCATCTAAAAAAGAATCGGTTAGGCCAAAAAAAAAATATGTCGGTCTCTGGTCAGCGCGCGCGTCGATTTTGATCATGCGCGTCGATCTTTTTTTCCCCAAAATGTTCCGCGGTAGCTTCAACAGCGCCCTCTATTTCCGCACCTCCTCATTTTTTTTTTACCCAAGAGCACCAAGGAATGGGAAATTGCACCAAGGCAAATAATCGAAAGCACCAAGGCAAATTATGGAGGACACCAATGTACATGAGGACACCAAAAGAAGCAAAATAGTACCCCACCTTGTCTGTACAATCCAAGCTTGAAGAAAAAAAGAAAAAAAGAAAAAAAAAAAAAAGCCGCGTGGCCGCGTCAATTCCGGAACTTTGGTCTGACCAGAGACCAAACATTTTTTTTTTGGCCTTATTTGCGTTTTCTATATATCCTTGTTGTTCCTCATTGCGCAAATGTCTGCCAAAGCGCGACCTCATCCGGCATTTGGCAGACGCGCTCAATGCCAACCTTTTTTTCCAAGAAACACTACTAATGAAGCTACTCCCTCCATGTGAATGTGGTTAGGGAAAAATCTCTACCACTGCCGTCCTTCCTAAAGCAAAATAGAGCCGTATCCAATAATATGTAACATCTTTTAACAGAACATTTATATAAAATGTATTTTGTTGCCATTTTTATGTTTTTGAATAAAAAAAACTAATGCGTTGAATTGGCAAAAAAGGGTACAACTCAATTCAATAGGATATTCTCTTTTTTTATATATATATTTATTGGTGTTGGAGTGGTAAGATGGCGGACGATGACGTCACTTCTGACACTCATTGGGCTCTTCAGGCGTTGTATCAAATACAATACCTACATATGCATTTGCACCTTCGTGTTGGTGATTTAATTAATACTCCATTACTAAGCGTGGGCCCTATTTCATTCGTTGTCTCTCTTTTAAAGGTGAATAACTTTTGTACTGCTAGAAAAAAAATAGCAATTATTTTGTGAAACTCTTTCGAGCCAAAAACTCGGAAATATCAGAGGGGCAGTAGCTTTAAAGTTTTAACATTCAATATGAAATATCTCCTTGGGGGGGGGGGGGGGGGGGGGGCTTTACAGCCTGTTTAAAGGTCATGAAATAATACAAGCACTGGATATCCTGTGTAAATGCCAGATATTACAGACATTAAAACCGGACATTTTGCAACCGGACACTAAATGTATTGCCATTATAAAGGAGCTTATCACACAAGGGAAAACCCGGGGAAACTCGGACGGAACGGGGAAACCCGGCGACAGAACGGGGAAACCCGGCGACAGAACGGGGAAACCCGGCATGAACTTTACGAAAGACTATTGATTTTATTAGCAGCCATGACTGAAATGTATATACGAAGACCCAGAGGGGACATTGGGGACACGAACATTTTTGCTACGTATTCCGTACGTACGTATAATAATACCTATACATACGTAACACGAAACAAAAAAATCGCCATGTCCCCGATGTCCTTTTTGAGTCTTCGTAATAATGCGTGTAGCGAGGCCACAATACAGAAGTGATCTGATTATAGTGTAAGTTCCAGACAAACCTGTTGATATTCGTGTGACTGACTCTGGCAGATATTACGCAGCATTTATTCTGTAGGCCGTTGTGTGAGTGGAGGACTATTTTGGCCAAGGTAAGTCATATATTATTCCGTAGGCTACTAATTATGGTTGTTTATGGTATATATAGCGCATGTTCGACGTTTGATTCATGGTCGACGTATAACTTAAAAAAAAAAAATAATCTCCTGTTATCGGAATCGGTTATATGTTATGTCGTATCTTTTAAAAATATGTTTGGAGCCGCCGTGCTGATGACAATTCTTTTGCTACACAAGCAGTACACACTTGACTACAAGCCAGTGTTGTAGGACTCGAGTCCAGGACTCGGACTCGAATCGGACTCGAGTCACATTTTTCGTGACTCGGACTCGACTCGAGTCACATTGGAAAATGACTCGGACTCGGACTCGACCATGATGACTCGGACTCGAGCTTGGTGACTCGTGACTCGTGCCACGTATATTCATTAAAAGAAAAAAACATAACGTTGCGTATTTGTGCGACGAACGTAGCATTCTTTTTTACACCATGCAGGGCTCTGTGCCATGCCAAAAATTGTCCGGTATCATGGAGGAGCGTTTTTAGGGATGGGAATTAAAAGGAAAACACATTTTGGGTATAAACAACATGTGCACACACAAGGTGAACTGTATACACTGAGATTTGAATGGATGATTGAAAAATAATTTTAACCAAATTGATTGGTTTGGTTAACAACTAATTAGAACAAGTGACTCGTGACTTGGACTCGAGGCTTGTGACTCGAGACTCGAGACTACATGGGCGTCGCCAGGTTTTTTTCTAAAGGGGGGCAAAATTTGTTTTTGCCAAAAAATGCTTGTATTTCTCAACGCATTTTCGATTTATCAATTTAAGAGGGGGGCAGGGACATTTTGCCCCCCCCCCCCAACTCATTAAATTACACCACTTTGTCTTCGCGCCTCTTTTTCGTTTTTCTTTTTTTCTTTTTTTTTCTTCATTTTTTTTCTTTCTTTTTTTTTGCTTTTCCGGGGGGGGGGGAAGTGCCCCCCCTTACCCCCCTCGCGACGCCCTTGCTTGTGACTCGTGACTCGGACTCGGACTCGAGGCCGAGGGTCGTGACTCGTGACTCGTGACTCAGACTCGGACTCGAGGCTTGTGACTCGTGACCCGATCGGACTAGAGGCTAATTGTGACTCGGACTCGGACTCGACGTTGGTGACTCGACTACCACACTGCTACAAGCAGTAGGCCTATATTCATAAAAAAAAAAACGACACCCGTGCAGCTTTGCTGAAACTCGAGTATAATAAGTCAGAAAAATGAGCACAGTCACATATTGTCAAAATGTCATGTTTTTAATAATGATTATTTATAAGTTTTTATTTTTGCCTACGTTTACGTTCTCCTGCGATGTATGTCCAGATATGGCCGCCGTCTTGGTTTAAAAAGCTTGTCAGTATATTTTGTGGAGTACTTGTACTGAAATCAGACAACTACGTTCACAATGGCACAATTATAACCCCTGTAATGTGTCACAATGGCGAAGGTTGCACTTCTCAATGGATTTGTACAGAGGTCAAGGCTCAGTCTGGCTTTTTGTATCGACGCAGTGGTGCGATCATTTTTTTTTTATTCACCCAAATCACCGTGTTTACCAATTGAACCGATAGGTTTTCTGCTAACTAGCCAACCAAGCTTTAGTTCACACACCCAGTGCGTTACGGTACGTTTTAACCTGATCTGCTGCGTTCGACACGTACGGCATTATAGTCTTGTGGTGTTGTTTTAAATTCTAAAAGGTTCAAATGGCAACTATCTGCTGAAAAAGCATACGACCCCTTTGCGACGAACTGCGGTGGAGGATCATGATATAACAACGTTCAATTTCCAAACGCACAAGTCTGCAGTTAATGTAAGTGTTGCCGTGTGTAGGGCCTACATCAATGCGGAAGGAATTATTGAGCGGCCGGAACTCCTTATTAAAATGTTCGTTTTTTTTTTCTTTTTTGAGGGGAACAATCATGGGTCAATTCTTTTTTTTCTTTAGTTATATTTAAGCCAAATTATTGCCTTTATATGCCCAAAATTGGCCCAACCTGCAAAGCACGGACAAAAACAGCATTAACATTTTTGTTTTCTTCAATAATCTCGCTGAAAAAAAATGTAAATAATTCGTATACAGGGCGGCTATTTTTTGTTGCCAAAGTTTTTTTTATAGTGGGGGTGAATGGGCGGGGAGGGGGCAAAATAAAAGAACGCGAATCGAATTTCAACGCCCGTTGCACTGCTGCAAAAATATTGCTCTTTCCCATTCAACACTTGTCTGTATCAGTATTTTTATATCAGTCAGTTTCCATGTTTTTGTGTTTTCGTTGAAAATTTGTTAAGCATTTTATGTGCTTGCTGCAGTGCAATTTCACTTGCACATGGATAATATAAACATCGCCGTGCATTTTGTTCATGTTTCTTACATTTTTTGTTCAGTTCCTCTTTCGGTTTACTTGTACTTTTGCTTTTGCTCGCACATTCTCTTGTTAATCATTACTCGTCTTGATTGTTTAGGTAATACTGCGAGGTCATTGCTCGGCCAAAGACAATAAAGTGTTTGTTTTTCCTCGTTAGTCGTATGACTATAATGTTCTGACAACCTTTCAGCAACCGAAAAATAACCCGGAAAACTAATGCCCAGGATCTATAGAATCACATTTGGATCGTTTTGAAAGCTGCTGCTATGCCAAAATCAATGTAGCTGTAAGATCTCAATCTCTGATGGCTTCCTTTATCATAAACGTTTCCTGGTGGTAAACTCTATCATGGGCGTCGCTAGGATTTTTTTCTAGAGGGGGGCAAAACATATTCCTTTTGCCAAAAAAATCCTGAACTTCTCAACATATTCTCGATTTATGAGTTTTAGAGGGGGCAGGGACATCTTGCCCCCTCCCCTCTCCCGCCCCAACCCGTAACATTTACACCAATATGACGTGGCGCCTCTTTTTCTTTCCTTTCCTTTTTTTTTTTCTTCCGTGCGTGTGAGTTTGTTTCTGCATTCAATAGGGGACGTTGAACAATAGAGGACAATAGGGTACGTCTCCAGTTTCCCGAAGTTTTTCAATTTACGACCGTGTACACTTTAAACATTCGTAATCTTCATTTTGCAAACAATTTGGCCCATACAGGTTTTTTGAAAAACAGTGCAGTGTTGAACCGTCGTCCGGTTCATGTGTACAAGAATTTTTCAATTGGTTTCATAATGCTTTAAGGTTTTTCCTTAATAACGAAAATCAGCTTTCGCACCGTGATTCCGATATGTTGGTATATCTTCGCTGGTCCCATACAGTGGGCCAGCCTGCAGGCCTTTTCTATCTCACTGACTCAACCACTGACTGACTCACTCACCGGCTGCCACTTGCTCTGGGAGTCGGGCAGTGCTGTTGTATAGGATTATCCCGTAACGTGGGCTTAATTCGGCCCAGTTTGTAAACCAGATGCATGAAAAGACTTCCGGTGAACAGCACCATTCTGAATTACTTGAACCAGCTTTACTAAGCGTTTCTGGTCTGGTTTGGTTATTTTTTAATAAATATTTTCCTGGCCGGTTTTAAACACTCTGTTTGAGACTGGTTGGAGTCTGTATGCTGATGATTACTCGAGCGATTTGAAATACCGTATTGCGCATGCCTACGTGAGGATTGCGAACGTTCAACCAATAAAACGGTAAAAGGCGCCGGATTTCATATAGGAGTTTAAATTTAATGTGACACTGGAAAAGTGTTAAAAACCAGCTAGCCGGTCTTTATCGAACGTTTAACGGCCACGTGACGGGCTCTCGACCAGTGGGAATGGGTAAACTGTCTTAGGTTTTCTGAATGGTTAATTGATGTATGTATCATACGCCATGAACCATAAATCTCTGTCGCCTTTTTTTCTCCAGGTTGATCAAAGATGGCGTGTACGATCCGGCACCTGCAGTTAATGCTGGTAACGGTGAGCGTCATAGTGACATCATCGGTTGTATCCAGCCAATTGACGAATGATGAGTCCAACGCATACGATGAGGCATGCTTCGTCCCTCCGTCAAATCGACCTGTTGACGTAGACAAGGTCATTAATTGATCCATCAGATAATTACTTTTTTCGGGGGGGGGGGATGTTGTGTTGGGGGGCCGCCCGGTAGTCCGATAGTCTGAAGGTTATTCTTTAGTCAGAAGGTTCGATAGTCCGAATGCACAAAATTTCCATAAGAGGAGGTTTGTTAGTCCGAAAATGAAATAAGGTTCGTTAATCCGAACATTTGATGCAATAGTCCGAAGGTTCATTAATCCGAAGGTTCAAAAGTCTGAAGGTTCATTTTTCCGAAGGTTCGATAGTCTGAAGGTTCATTTTTCCGAAGGTTCGATAGTCTGAATATCGAATAAGTATAATCAGTCCGAAGGTTCATAGTCGGAAACGAAAATAAGGTTCAATAGTCCGAAGGTTCATTATTCCGAATTGACAATAAGGTAATTCGAGAGTCCGAAAATACTATAAGGTCAGACTGTCCGAATCGACAATAAGGTCCGATTTTCCGAATCAACAGTAAGGTTAGATTGTCCAAAGTGTCGTACTGACGAACTGCAATGCCCATTCGGACTATCGAACCTTTTTGTCGATTCGGACTTTCGAACCCTATCGTCTATTCGGACTAACGAATCTTCGGATTAATTAATCTTATTCTATTTTCGGATTAATGGGCCCTCGGACTATCGAACCTCGGACTATTGAACCTTCATAACGAACCTTCGGACTAAAGACTCTTCAACCTTCGGACTGTCCAACCTTCGGACTATCGGGCTGTAACCGTTGTGTTGACAACTGCACCAGAGCAGGAGCCATAGGTCGTGGGTGTATAAGTCCCACTCGATTTAACATGTCATTTTTTTGTTCGCCAGCTGTCTGAAAGCACAGTATACGGGCGAGTCAGAATGATCTGGACCCAAATTAAAAAAAAAATGATAAATATATATAGCAATAAATTATCAAAACAAGTGCAAATGAGATATGCTACAGGCTGGTAGTTTGGATAAATTTCGCGATAGTTTCATGTACATGTATATCCATTGTACCATTTAGAAGAAAAGCGCCAATAAAGAACACAAAAGCATCCCGACCACGGTTCCATGTTTCAACACATTTATAGAAATCGTGTATTGATGTGAAGAAGGTGCAATAAATAAAGCTATAGTCTTATGGTGACTGACTCACTTGAAGTTATTGACACATTTAGGGAAACAAAAGGCAAAACCAATTCCGTGTGCATACTGGAAAATGAGCCACTTAAGTGAAAATGGCATAACTCCTCACCACAGCCACTAAAGTATTTGACAAATTCAAAATTCCTGTGGAATCAAGATAATGACCATTCATGTGAAACACTCAGTTTTTCTCAATATATTCTATTTGCCAAAACAAAAAATGGTGAAATTGGGTCCAGATCATACTGACTCATCCTGTACTCATAGCCGAAGAGCAAATCTCAACATTTAAAGGCATATCGGAGCATTGTTTTTCGTGCAATTTGTTCGTTTAATTCTAACACCACTCAAAGTCGAAAGGATAAAAGAAAAATGTTCAGAACCCACCTCATATTACACTATTTGAGAAAAGTAACAGTGAAAAGAAACACGGTTTCATCCACAGAACTCTGTAAACACTAATGGGTAAAATACTGTTGGGCAATATAATTTTACCCAACATTGGTTTGAAATTACCTCATTTGGGTAAAAATTGTCCAACTATTTGGGAAGAATTTGCCCAAGAATTCAACCTGTTGATATGTTGACCAACGATGGTCTATACATATCAACCCATTTTGCAGTATTAAAAAAAAATCACCTACATTTCTCGGTTTCTTCTAAATGACAGCAATGCAGGTGGAACAGTTTTACGGGGTGTTTAGCACCAGTTATAGTAGTCCTACGATATTGAACGCAATTAAGGTTTATGATAATTAGGTATACTTTTGGGATAAATGCAAATGATCCTATATGCCTTTAAAGAAGCCACATTTACTTTTTCATTCCAGCGTCAACTTCATGTTAACGAAGTAATGCAGACAGCTAGCTCAACGAACCAACCAACCAACAAATACTAATTTACTGAACCGCATTTCTATCTTTTGTACACTTTAGCTTTTCCTGATAAACGTTTCTCTTCCATCATCCGTGACACATGTGGATTTGAGATACTTGAGCTACCCTAACGGATCGTGTGAGTGGCTTGCATAGTTTGTCTTTCCCGTGACAAGTTGGTTAAATTTGCTGCCAATGTAGTAGTAATAATACAAATTTACTTTTAAAAAAAATATGAAAATATTTTTTTTTTATTACACGGTGCTATTTACGACTTATGCAAATTAGTCACCATTCCCAAAAGAATGTCGGTGTCACCTTTTCTAAATATCGTCTTTAGGGCTGTAAGAATCTATCTGCCGAGCTTGGTGCTTTGGACCAGTCGGTCACGATTCCGACTATATGCCATCTTATACTCGCGCCATTCCCTAGACTTAGCGTAAGTACAAGAAAAGATGATTTTTCCCCCCAAGCTATAAGGGAGCTGAATAAGAATCAGACAAACAAACAAAACTCCCTCGTAAATATTTGTAAACGGGTCAGAAGCTCAATATTTGTAAACGAAGAAAGGGATTATCATGAACTTGCTAGAATTTCACTTCAAAAGGATGGAACCCTCATCAGCGCAATGCCACCGCCGGACGATGGTCGCGCGTCGCGAAACAGTTAATGAGACAGAATGGGGCAAGCCTGGTTAGGTTAATTGCTTGTACGAGAGTGGCTCTGAATAGTCAACTGCTTTATACGAATGAAATGTATCGAAAAGAGTGACGTAACAGCATTCATGTGAACAGCGCGATGCAGTTTTGCGCAGCTAGCTTTGAAAAACAAAGCAACTCCCACTGCGGGAATCAATGGCCCGATCTTATTGCAACTGAATACAATGCACATCGTGTTACAGAGAAGCGCCCACTGAAATAGCCTAGTGGTTAAGCTGTCTGACAGCAGACCCAAGGTTAGGGGTTCGAATCCCCACGGTGTCATTTTTGTTTTTCAGCGCACGCGGCTTTGTTATTTAATTTAAGAGTATTAGTTTCCCGTCGTCATTCACCAACAGCAGTTAGCTCGGTCGGTCGGTAAGCTGACTCACAAGTTGGGACTGTCTGCGAAGTCCAGGTTGGCGTCTGCGTATAGGTACGGGGTTCTTTTGCTGACTCGGCAGCAAGGCTTAGGGTGCCACCTCGTTTCCTCCCTTTATGGTGCCTGACTTTCGAGTTACATGGATGGACAGGGAAGGAGGTGTGGTGGGCTGGGTACCGAGTCCCGGAAGAGTTCTATATGGAAGTCGGTAAGGGGCTCATTGAGTTAGGGTCATAAGTCCGACTCCTGAAGACTTGGCCATCGCCACATAACTTTTTTTGTTTTATTTTTGTCTATCCAAGCTAGGATGATTGCAAGAATGATTAATATGTTATATTGAGAGCTTGTTCTTGCTTGAAAATCCAATGCATATAACGTAATAAATAAAGAATTGGCCCCCTCGACACCGAAAGTCTAAACATTTGTTATATTTAGTACCCCAGCAGGTTCCGTATAATCGTGGGTCGCGCGCAAATCGTCGCAACTAAATTTTGCATCAACATGTTGGTAAAAGACTGTGCTATAAGCAAATGTAGGAATGAAGGCGGAAATCGGCAGCCATCTGTAGACCTATTTCCCATGTTGTCTGAAAAGACTTTTGAATTTGAAGTTAATTTTGATACATCGGCAGACGGAATGCGACTGGCCAACGTCACTGCACCGGTAGTCGCGGTAGCGGCAGTAGACGCGGAAAGGAACTGAAGATGAGTAGGAACTGATGACACCTGTAATAAGGCTGATGGGGAAATTAAAGTGGAATTATGAAAACGAAACTTGTTGGATAAAATATCACTGGAAGTTCAGAGCGTGTGCAGTACGGGGCCGGGGCGGCGGAACCGGGGGGGGGGGGGGGGGGGGGGGGAGGGGCAGAGGTTTGTTTGTTTACCCAAGCGGTCCCGCTTGCGGACATAAGTTTGCCCCTCGAGCATAAATGTGCCCCCTCCAGATAAAAACAAAAGTGGCCCTAAAATTTCTGATAATTTGTTTTCAGTAGCCATTTCCAAAAAATGGTATAGAGAGTTCTGATACGAACGAGGAATATGAAAACCGAGCCCCAAAACCGTTACATTGTGCCCCGACTTGAAAATTGGCACATTATGCGTAGTTTGCGGAATGGCCGGGTTTGAAGAGCGCCCCCTATTTTGGAAGATGGTACCAGGTCCCCCTCCCAATCTACTGCTTGATTTTACGGAGGCCAGGTGTCAGGCGAACAAAAAAACGTGTTGACATTTCAGCACAGATGTGCCAAAAATAAAAAAATACTGAGCAAGTGCCCCTTTTCGGTGATGCCCCCATCTCATTTAACTATACATTTTTTATTGAATGAGAAATTGTACATTTTGCAACATTTAATTAACTGCTGTCTTTTGTTTCGTTTTGCGTTCCCGTAGGTGGACTCGACATATATGTACTTGTGCCGAATACTAACCTTTACATCGAGTTCAAGGGACTAATTGAAAGGGAAGCAGGGCAATTTTTTAGCCACTGCAATTACACCGACGACATCAAGCCACAACAGTTCCATGGCAAAATATTGTCACTGGGCCTAGGTATGTAGCCAACAACATACAATACTATATCAAGATTGTCAAAGTTCGTCTTCACGGTGGCTCTACTGAGCACATCCTCTTCATACAGTAAACAACTGCTTCGGCTCATGCTTCCGAAACTGCAAAATCTCCTAGTAGGGCTATTCCAAAGTTGCAGGCGTAAGGTGGCTTCCCCCCCCCCCCTACCAGTGATGAAATCTTGATCCTGTGAAGTTGAGTTTTGTTTCGATTGATTTGGGCTTCCCTGATATCTTGAGGTAGGAGATTCCATTGTTCATTGGGAAGGTTACACATTCGGTGTAAATTGCCGGGCCGGCCACCATACCATGGCTCCTTGAGAGGAAAGCTGACTTGATTAAAACAGTCTTCATCACTCTTTGTTGCACGGTGGGTGAATGAAGGTGAAGATGATTTCCGTGTTTTTATTTGTAGGCCTACCCCTTCTGAGTTCCACCAATCAAATGACAAGGATATGTATATCGGTTGTTTAAAGACTACTAATATAATCTGGCGATGGCATATAGCCCCATAAATGTGGCCAATTTACTGGACTACCTCCGTAAATAAAGGCCACACTTGGAACATGTACCCGAAAATGTAGAACTTTGTCAAGTTTTTTATATTCAAACTGAGACTTTTGTGTAGTTTATTTATGCTTTAGAAGCACACTCACCCTCTGTAAAGCGATAGAAAATGTATTCCCCTTTTGCAGACATATATTTTTCGTGTAATTTCGTGTTGGAATTTAGGTATAGTATACGCTAACGTGTGCAAAATGAACCGATCGAGTATGAGGACAACACTGCCCTATGCACCGTGCTGGTGCTGTGAACTCTAGGCCTAAAGCATTTTAAATCTTGCGTTTATACGAACGATTTGCTTGTATCTACAATTAATTCCACTTTCTCCCATCACAGTCTCTCAGAAAAGCATTCCTGACTGATCCATACATATCTCTTGAAAAAAATTCGGAACAAATGGTTTGTAGGACCTCTGGAATGAACGCCCTCTAGTAAAAAATCCATAAGAAAGATGAACACTTTTTTTGTGGTGGCGCGCCTCGGCCTCGTTTTATCCCTAATAAAAGTAATAATCGACAACGTAAACACGAGTGCTGGTTTGTAGCTGTTTTTTTTGCATGATTTTTGCATCAATTCACTTGGAAAACATACGATTTTTTTTAACTAAGATATATATTGTTTTGTAGAAGTTCTGGGTGTAAGGATTGTTCAGAAAGGAGGAAATTGAAATGGAATTTTTGGAACCAAATGCTAAAATCGTTCATACTTTTCATAATATCGCGTCCCGGCCCCTGTCATTAACGGGAACGCTATAGAACTCTTTTTTTCTTCGAATTTTGTCTTTGGTCGGTCGTACTATCGCCCCCCCCCCCCCAGCCGTTTCAAATCATAGGAAATTGAATTTGTATTTTCACGAACATCCAGCTCAAAATAACAAAAGGTGCAAAAATCACCGCAAAAGTATCATAGATCCAGTAATTCCTATCCCTAGCCCTTCATGATTGGTAAGAATTTTGGGCAGGAACCAGTTTGTAGCGTCACATAAACATTCTGGTAAAATCGGCCCTCCATAGTAACATTAACGTTTTTGACGCAATTGGCTCTCCATAGCCCAACGCGCCACTACATGTGTATTGACCTCGTATTATTTTCATGAATTTTGGCTGGTGCTTTCTGTGGCCTTTTCAGCCAGTTTATCTACACTTTTTCGTCACCAAGAGTTATATTTTGTTTATCATCGTTTCTAAATTGAGGTAACTCCAGTATTGTCGGCATCTCCATCGCAGTTTTCGACGAGATGCCGTCCTTTTGTTAATATATATTACTACTAACTTTTGACCCATGGCTACTCCCATGTGCGCGTACACAGTGCACACGCATGATCCATTATTGCTGTTGTGCCCATTCTTAAAAATCACGCAATCTTAAGAATGCGCGCGCATTCTTAAGAATGAGCGCGCATTCTTATAAGAATGAGCACGCGTTCTTAAGAACGCTCATTCTTAAGATTGCGTGGGAATATCACGTGCACAATTTATGAATTTTGCGCAATCTTAACAAACATTGCACGACATAATTATGTTAAATGAAATGTAATAACGGAGGACTGGGAACTAGTCTGGGAAGTGCTTTGTTTAGGCTAGACAAGTTACAAGTCCCTGTATGTATCATATGCATGCCACGAAAAAAAAAAAACGATGTCCAGAAGCTGCCAAATTTGCTCTTTTGACTAGATAGAATCCAGCTCTGCGACGTAATGGTGGGGTGTGAACAATAAATTGGTGGCAATTTAAATGGGAAATAGCATTAGCACTAGGGATGTCGCAGTATTCATTCTCATTCTTCACATTCTTCATTCTTACGTCCCCCCCCCCCGCTTTTTTTATCCCAAAAATCAGAATTCTTTCCACTATTATTATGTCTCTTATTTTTTCCCGGTCCCCCCCCCCATATCAATACGCCTATACTTATCATATCCACTCTACTTTTCAGCGCCTTGCGTTGCAACAGTATATTTATTAAGAATCAGTGAACGAGGATGCAGGTAGACTTGCCAAGCGCAGCAGGTGCTCGGTATCGACAAGACCGTTATATATCTTGTCGCGCATTCTTAAGAATGTGCGCTCAATCTGGAAGAGTTATTTTTTGCGAAGATTGTGCAAGGATCCAGTTGCACAATCATAAGAATGTGCACGCGCATTCTTAAGAATGCGTGATTTTCAAGAAAGCGCACAACATTGCCATGATTGTGTAGAGCTGTGTGTACGGGCATCATGTTTATTGTTCTTCGTTCGGTACAACCATTGGGAAAATGTCCATACTGGCTCACCACTTTAACTGCCGCCAAACACATCAATTTTCACCTCACTTTGTGATTTCACCCAAGATTAATCCAGGAAGCTGTGTAAATGTGAAAAAAAATTAGGCAAAATGTGTTTTTAGAGCACATTTTGGATGCACACGTCGTGCAAAACTAAGTTAAGCACAAGTAGCCGGTCAAAACTAATTGAGTGGCTAAAAGACAGCGGTATGTTATACGCATGACATAGACAACCATGACCTCGCATGAGCCAGCCAATGATAGTGCAATACGTCATTATGAATATTTATTTTCTCATGAATATTTAGTTTACTTCAATGGCTACTTCAAATACGTCCAAAGATTGATTATTGCAACAGCGATCGTGCGCGGCCTAGCGGTTAAGAGTCTGGTGTTTCAAGCCAGAGTTCGAGGTTCGAATCTCGATGAAAAGTGACTGATTAATAAATAGAAATAAAGGAAAGGAGAGGGTGAGAGTAGAGGAGGGAAAGTGGAGGGAATAACCATAAAGGATGCAACTTTTGGCGCTTGGAAAAAAGGTGATGATCCAGTATGGAATTTTTTCAACTATGCAACTTTATGTCGACATGGGTTCCCAACTAGACCCAAGTTCTGTCATTCGAGATGCAGGCAGGAATTGAGCTTTGAAGTTTGAGGGAGGATGCAGGTCAACTCGGTCCGAGTCAACTCGATCCCATCAACTCGGTTCCAGGTCTACTGGAACTGGGTCCCAGGTCAACTTGGTCCCAGGTCAACTCAGACCGAGATGGTTTGGGACCGAGTTGACTCAAAACCCAATTATCATGTGTGGCTATGCGTACGGTACATTAATGTCATAGATAAAATCCCATATCGGTCCGTAGCCTGTAGACCTACATGTATGTAGAAAAAAAAAACATGAGGAACGTTATACGATGTCATGTGCAGTGGCATTTTGGAAAGGGAAAGATTCCCATATCTGGCCATCATAAATTTTTCCCTTCAGTGACCTATCACTCAGCTATCAGAAAGTGATAATATGTCCTAAAACGTCAAAATTAGCAGGGAAAATATTGAAGTACATTTGTACATGTATTTACAGAGAAAACACTTAGAAATGTTCAGACCAGTCTCGTAGTCATACTAGGGTTTGTGCACAGGGTGACAGGTGATGGCCAGACACCACTTCTTTGGAGTTTGGGTGTGTACAAAGTCTATGGAGAGTTGAGTGCATCAAGTTTTTTTTCTAACAAAATTGGAAATGCTTCGGTCCCACTCCCAGATTCATCATCTTTGCAACATTTTTGCAATGACTGACCTCCATTGAGAAACTCTATGAATGATGAAAAAAGTGTATCAGGATGCAACATTCTCCCCATACAGTTACTTCACCTTATTTATTACGCTCAGCGCTGTGATTTAAAGGGAATATACAGTACATCATTTGCTTTTGCTGTAATTTTCAGAAATGGATGGAATAGGGGGGTTAGAAATATATAGCAAATATAGTTACACTGACTTTTTTGAGGTTTTGGGTTCGAAAATGCTATAAAAACCAAGAAAAACCATCATTTTCCTGTAGTCTGGTTCCCTGACTCCATATAAGAAGAAACAGAGCAGTTTACATACATTGGGGAATTGTAAGGTCAGGGAACCAGTCTAGCTGGCTCGTACCCGTTCATAGGTTTGTAATCGATTGCAAACAAGTGCGATGGTCAATTGGGGCCAGTATTTGAAAAAAAGCCAGTTTTTTCCAACGCTGATCGGCCGATCAGCGTTGGAAATTGATACAAAAATACCACTTTTCTTGAAAATGACAGTATACCAGGTGCCATGATTTTACAGGATGCTTTACACTGTCATTCACTAACATTCCAGCAAGGTATTTCAAAATGATTGGGTAGTTTTATTTTTTGATGTTTGCAAATGTTGTTTTTTCCCTTTAACTCTTACAAGTTACAGTGTATATATGCAGTGATTGTGATATGTCTTGAAAATGTTTGCAACTCTCAACTCTAGAGGGATGCGGGTCATATGTTTGCTAGAGAATCCAGATGTAGATGTAGTCTGAAAATTTGGGACTCTCATACTCTGTATGAGAGTCCCAAAACGTAAGGTATTGAAAACATGCAATTATAGACTGGCACCTGAAACAACTAGTCCAAACACCGCTTCACTGAAGCCTTCAGTACTGCATCAATCTTTATGTGGCATGAACCGGGAACTAGCTATTTTAATTACACATTTCTCCATAGTCGGTCACCATACTATAATGACACTGAATGAAGAGGTCATTCTTTTCAAATAGTTGGACGATGGTTGGACATGTACTGGTCTAGTCTGTAGCCTCATTTTGAAATCACTTGACTTCCCCCTCATGTGCAAAATATTGAAGAAAAGTCTCATTTAAAAGTTGAATTGAGTCTGCAATCTTGGTTGGTGATATACTGAGGGCCTTTGATTGGTCACCAATCCAGGTGACATCAAAGTGCCCTGTGATTGGTTTGGCTGATGCTTTTCCTAAATTCATAATTGGCAGCCTCAAACAAAGCGTTTGTGACAAGGATGTTTCCCAAATTGAAAGTGAAATTTCTCTTTTCTCCCAAAATGTAAACATGTACATAACCACCACCATTTGTAAATTTCCAATTCCCACTGAAGCCTACAGGGTCGCATAAGGCAGTTTGAAGACTGTTTTGGGGTGAAATCTGAAGATTTTTATTGGGGGTACGATTGAAAATGGTAAAAAAAAAAAGTTATTAGTAACGCACATGACGCAATAATAAGGCTTTGTACCTAGGACTCTACTATCACCCGACCATGTCCAAATGTTAAAAAAGGCGATTCTTAGAGTCCTAGTTACTCGGACTATACATGTATGTAGAAATTGTAGATGTAGAACCGAGCATTTATGTATAGTATTTTGTCATATCTGTCATGTCCATAGGAGAAGCTGGTAAGGTGGCTCCAGATGAAGAATTCATCCGAGTTCCCCCTGGATGGATTGATGAAGGAATAATCTTCAAATTGCAAATTGACTACATTGCTGCAGGAAAACATGATCTGCACTGCAGCCTGCAATACCTGCACACGATCAGCAACTCTCAGTATAACCTCAATGTCACGCTTCAAATTAATGGTAATGTACAAGACTTCAATTAATTAGAGACATTGTTCCCAACATGAAAAGTTGTTGGGGCATGTTCTGAATACGGTAAATTAATTTCAAACTGTTTGACATGTTAGATGGAATAATGGTAAAAATTAAGATACTTAATTATAGCCTAAATGCCTCTGTACAGGGTGAGTAAAAAAAAAAAGGTGAAACCCAAATGTCGGGACCATTGTTTTAGTGGAGTTCTGCATGTGGCCCTTTGAAAATCTAGGATGAAAGCCCAATTCATAAGCTTTCTTTTAGTACAAGAATCATTCAAATCACTCATAAATGTATTTTTCAAGTAACAGAATTTTAAACACAACCACCGTTTTAAAGAGATAGTCCATCATTTGTAAAAGTTGCTGAATCATGTTTTGAATTGAACCTGAATTCAGCGTCCGAGACACGTTCTCACTGAGCCGGTTGCAACTATACACGATGTCGTGCTCTGATCCGACGAATTATAGCAAACAGCAGGCGCATGTGCGTTGTGCCAATGCTTGTGCGTGCTTCGCCGGATAACAAAATGAATTACCGGTACTATTTTAAATTTTCCTACGGTGCGTCTTAAGACGCACCGTTGGAAAGGCCTTCTTTCATTGATTACTTCAAAATGACAGCTTGCCAGAAAGAATAATTTCACAGGGAGTTTAGGCCCCCCAAAAAAGTCTCCGGTTTCTGGTATGGAGCTTGCCCAAAAAGTGGTGCGGCGATGCGGCCTTTTTTTTTTTTACCTGTTTTTTTTTTGCTTCAAATGTCGGCTGATGACTGCAAATGGTGCCCGATTAAACTTAGTGCAAATATATGGGAGTCCAGAGAGGCCACATAAAGCTTATTCTTGATCATAACCCCATCTAAAAACACGTTAACATTATTGTGCAGCAGCAGGATTCCAGTCAAACCAGTGAGTTTGGTGGTTTTGAGACATCATCTTTTATTGAAAAAAAACCTTTTTGATTTTACCGACGTGCATGGCCAGGGCAACACGCGCGCATACCAGAAACCGGAGACTTTTTTGTTGGCGCCTTACTCCCCTTACTATCTTTCAACCAAGTATGTTTTTCAACAATAATCATGCCAGTTACTTTTCGGATGGCTGCAAATGATGGACTCTGGCTTTAAAGTTCTGCCCACAGATCACAAGAATGTTCATGTAAGTGTTCTTTCAGCAAAACGAAAACAAATCACTATGGATGTGTGTGAATTGTTTTCATTCTGCTGAAAGATCACACACCTTTTTGCGATCCTTGGACAGAACTTTAAAACAGTGGTTTGGGTTTAAAATTCCGTAACTTAAAAAGTCATCCAGGACAGATGACAACATGAGGGCATGAACTGTACAATGCATATTCATAACCTTGCCCATAAGGGCCTCCGCGAAAGGTATACATATTCAACGCGCAAAACCAGTCCGCCGTTTTGAAATCCCATGGAGGAATGTTTTTGAGACGATGTTTGTGGGAGCTGAAGACTGATCGTTGTTTCTTGGCCGGATGGATGAAGATTTCTAGATGAATTGGAACAAGTCCTCTACGAGCAGGTACCCTAACTTTGGAAATTTCTGGCCTGGATGAGAAGATAATCGCGCTCAAAGTCGGTAGTAAATGCGCTACATCAGTCTTCGGCATCCAGGGGGACATTTTCTGCACTGGCCATATTACAACGCTTGTGATAGTGCATAGCCAGAGGTATTCGGGCTTGACTTCACTGTGCTCCAATGTTTGGTTGTTTTTTTGGATGCCCAAAAAGATCACGTGCTGATTCAGTGCAAAGCCAAACTGTTTAATGAAAACACCACGTGCATGCGCGGGCAGTCCTGGTTGCTGGTGAAGTTGCACAGTACGGAAATGTTTGGTGAATCCAAATATAGCGAGTCAAAAGTTACTTTCTACTGTAAAGAAGCAAAGTGACAAATACCCTAGTAGCTGTGGGAGATGTTGGAGCACCCCTGGACTAATGATGTGCATCGTGTCGGGTTGACCAGGCCAAACTGACCCGAAATGTTAGAGATATAAACTGAATCCGAACTGAAACCGATCTTAGGCCAAAAAAAAAAAATTCGGTCTCTGGTCAGACCAAAGTTCTGGAATTGATGCGGCGATGCGTTTTTTTTTTTTTGCCTTTTTTTTTCAAGCTTGGATTGTACAGACAAGGTGGGTACTATTTTGCTTCTGTTGTGTCCTCATATACATTGGGGTCCTCCATAAATCGCATTGGTCATGTTGGTGCCCTCCATCATGTGCAATTTCCCCATTCCTTGGTACAAACATTTGAGGAGGTGCGGCAATAGAGGGTGCTGCTGTAGCTACCGCGGACAAACTGAAGAAAAAAAAGGTTGACGCGCATGATTAAAATCGACACTCGCGCTGACCAGAGACCAACTAATTTTTTGTTTTGGCCTTAGCTCCCTCAAACTGACCCAACCTGACCCGACAAAAAATAACTAGGTAAAACTGGCCCGAACAACCCGAACCCGAACCAACTCGAGAAAAAAAACTGAATATCTGGCTTGGACAAAGTGATCACTTGTTTTTGTGCCTGCCCTTACCCACGTGGCGTGAATTCTTGTGCAAAACCATTGTCTCTCTCTCCGATCTGTCATACTCAGTGGGTTGATAGAGAGTAACTCCGCTTATTGAACAAACGCAGGGTATCACCACGCGGTATCATGAAAGCTGTTACAATGTATCTATTTCGCTGTCAGTCCCCATCCGACTGGCGAAATAAAAAATTCATTTCTTTTTTTGAATTTTATATTGTTTTCTCATTTTTTAAGAGAAGTAAAGTCCAAAACGTCATAGCGTACATATCCGATGTGGATATTGTTTGGGGAAAATAAAATCGCGGCCTGGGCGGGTAAATGTTTTATATTGTATAAATACAGCGTGTGTCAATAAAAACGCAGGATTAGAAACAAAAATATTAAGAATATAAACCACCCCTATTCATCATAATGTTAACCCTATTTTCAAAGTACCTTTCCTTCTCTTCACTATGCTTTTTATCCCATCTCATTTGGACAATCCTGTCCAGAGATAGAGTACATTGAAGAAGGGTTATAAATTCCAAGCTGGTCTGATTTGTGAAATCACACATACCTAATGAAAGGTTTGAATTCAGTACAGGTGAAAGTATTTGTGGATCACAAAGAAGGACATGTGTGGCAGGATTAGGCATTGATATGTCAGAGACGACATTCATGATGCTTTGAAACAATGATAGTCCAGTTATTCAATTTAAGTGATACTTATCATCAGTTGTTTCAAAGAAAGTTTTGTTCTGGTTTAATTGTCTTCAATGCATACCTGCATTGTACATAACTGGTCGTTGTGTTAAGGTCATTGAATCAGACCAACCCGCTTCAGAAGGGCTTCACAAAACTTGTCATAACTTTTGAACCAAAAGTCCAAATTCCACCAAACAAAAATCTTGTCAAAGATGAAATTATGGACAATCAAATCCTTATCAAATTAGGCACACCAGTAGCATAATTTTCTCAGAAAAAAAAATCGCTTTGAATCCTGCGTTTTTATTGACACATGCTGTATTGTTCTCTAGACAGCCATCAGAGTGCGCGAGACGAAACACTAAGTTCAATGAGTGAACATCCGAAGCTGCTGTTGGTGAAACTTATAATCAGTGGGTTTGTTGTTCAAAATTCAATGCATTCCATTAGTTGTCTTTGTTCTAGGTCTTCTTCATCCGTTCTCTTGCCATCTTCAAAGCTTTTACGTGGTTAAATTTTCTTTATCAGGTTGTCCATCCGGCAAATATGGCGGCAGATGTGAACAAGATTGCTCTGAATGTGCCCCGGGAGTGGAATGCCACAGTTTCAATGGCGTGTGCATGTGTCCCCTGGGTCTACAAGGAAGTCACTGCAACCAAAGTAAGGCTGTACAGATTTACATGCTACTGTTAAAATTGGGCAAAGTTGATCTTATATGCTTGGTTTGCTCATTCCATCAAAATATTGCAGAACCAATTGTACAAGGCATGACGGTTTGACTGGTAACCTGGGGGACATCTCTGACTGGAAATCTCCGCTATTTAGCGGATTTCCGCTTTTTTGTTCAGCGTGCCACATTTTGTTTTCTGCTTTTTTTCTTCCGATGGTTCAGATTTCCCCCCGCTTTTTCCCCCGCGCGTAAGCATTGATTATATTTCCGTTTATTTTATTTTCCGCCGCCGCCGAACGCACGTGATCCGCTCTCTACAAGATCTGGGGTGCGTGCAATCGCAAGCAAGTATTCAATGTACATTGTACATACGTACATCGTACGTGTGTACTATACGATGCCATGTGCATGCATTTTTCAGCTCGAAGCCGCGTGTGTACAATGTATTTTACACAACATGTAAACAGCATCCGGGGAACCAACAGTCATTGCGCTGTGATTGGCTGCAGATAAATATGAATATTCACACATGCGCCATGAAGCGCGTTGGGACTCTTTGCGGCCGTTCCTGTGTCAATGCATGTAGTGACACGCGATGATCTCCACAATAACTCGCTGTAAACATCGTCTTGTTGCAAATATAAAGCCTTGAAATAAGACTAGTAAATTGTCGCCGTGCCGCGCCGGTAGAGGGCATCATGCAGGGCAAAGTTCATGTGTGCATTTCATTGCATGCACGCACGCATGCTGCGTGTATTCCGCTGCATTACGTACATGTACATGTACGTTAGTGTGTCGTTTCAAATGTTTCGAACGTATTTTGACATTATTAATTCCGCAAGATGTCAGTGCAACACAAATGTGTTATTATCCAAAGAGGTTCGGAGTTTGATACGGACATTGACAAGACTGATCCTCAGGTTACGAATCCGTGGAAATGGATTTGGATGGAACACATGGTTAATGGGCAGAAATTAAGCGACTCGATCAGAAGCCGAGACACGCGATGACGATGTGTATCATCTGTAGTAAGGAGTAGCTATATTTCAAAATTTTTCCGGGGCTCTTGGGCGGGCCCCGGACCCCACGCCGTAAGGGCTTCACGCTACGCGCTCGCAGGTTCGGTTATTTACAGGTTCAGCGATTTTCAGCTACTTTTTTTTTACTCCACTCACACCCCTGATAGTCCAATGCCCCATTGGTCCGACGCCCCATTGGTCCGACGTCCGATTGGTCCGACGTCCCATTGGTCCGACAACCCATTGGTCCGACATCCAATTGGTCCGATTGGCCGATTGGTACGACGTCCCATTGGTCCAATGAGCTCTCCGTGCGCTACCAAAAGAGGGCGCCCTTTTACCTAACAACGACGTCCCATGGGCGGGACATTTCGCTGGTTGACGCGCACCTTTCCTTGTGTGTGACGCACGTACACCAGGGGATTTGTTCTATTTACACGCAGTGGCCGCGCTTCGTGGCAAATGAATTGCAGTCAGGCAAGATGGCGTCGGTCGGTCACCCCCAACTGTACTTCCTTTGCCGGTGAGGGGGTGCTTGTGAACGGAGCGGATAACCCTTTGCTCTATGCGTTCCCTTGGTCTATACATCCCATTGGTCATGTTGGTCTGCCGTGCCGTTTTCATAAAACTGAATTGAATTTGAGTTTGAATTGCTGAATGGTAACACATAGCATCTGTGCTGATAAAAATTCCATGTTGTCACCGGCTGATGTACTGGCAATGCCGCGCTGCCCTATTCTGCAAATTTGACGTCCACTTGTTTTGATGTCCCTGTTACATCTGCTGCCTTTGATTTTTCGTTTTCACTTGTCCTCCAAGCTACTATGAATTGGAATGTCTAATGATACTTAAATGTCGTTTTTGAAATACAAGGTACATGCAGGTACTGTACGTACCAATTAAGGTAATGACAAAAAAAGGTCACACTTTGGACCCTATAGAATTAACTCTTTCGCTACGGAATTTAATTTCCCTTTTTCGTCCCAACTGGACGTAATTAAAAGCTGAAAATTCCGCCGAGCGTCGATGTGGGCGCCGCCATCTTTGAATGTATCTCCGTAAACAAACTGCTCACAATAACAAAAAGCGCGACCCGGCCAGACGGAGAGCCGCTGGCAGCGGCTCAAACTAGGGTCAGAGGTTATACGATATAAATTATGTAGATATGGCCCACGTCATGGGGATACCCTGTTTATTCATAGCGACGCAACCGAGCCGCTGCCGGCGGCTCTCCGTACGACCTGTACAATTTGTATGTGCCGCTGTCAGCGGCTCGCCGTAGCGAAAGAGTTAACCCACATTTTAGATTAATTTTAGCGTGATTCATTATTTGCACAAGGCTAGTCAGTTGGGCATTATGTTACTTCAAGGACTTGATTTTCAATAGTTGACTAGATTTTCAAACAAACACCTCATTTTGCTACTTGTGTGTCCCATGACGATTTCATTCCATAAAACATTTGGAAACATTATACAAGCCGTTCTCTGACTCTATGGACCATATACTCACGAGAAGCCATTTTGGTTGGTTCCCAGTGTATTTTGTACATTGTGAACTATTGAATGGGACGGTGCCAGATATATAAAACATTATAGCCCCACTTTCATTTCTTTTTAAAATGTGGCTTCAAACATTAGGGTATGTTTAAAGGGAATATACATCATTTGCTTTTGCTGTAATTTTCAGACATGGATGGAATTGGGGGGTTGGAAATATATAGCAAATATAGTTACGCTGACTTTTTGAGGTTTTGGGTTCGAAAATGCTATAAAAACCAAGAAAAACAATCATTTTCCTGTAGTCTGGTTCCCTGACTCCATTTAAGAAGAAACGGAGCAGTTTACATTATATTGGGGAATTGTAAGGTCGGGGAAACCAGTCTAGCTGGCTTGTACCCGTTCATACATATGTAGTGTAATCGATTGCAAACAAGTGCGATGGTCAACTGGGGCCAGTATTTGAAAAAAAAACAGTTTTTTCCAACGCTGATAGGCCGATCAGCGTTGGAAATTGATACAAAAATACCACTTTTCTTGAAAATGACAGTATACCGGGTGCCATGATTTTACAGGATGCTTTACACTGTCATTCACTAACAGTCCAGCAAGGTATTTCAAAATGTATTTTTTGATGTTTGCAAATGTTGTATTTTCCTTTTAACACGTTTAATAACAGAATTTTAAATAATTAATCCCTGTAGCAGACTGGTATAAATTTGTTATACTTTATAAATTTGCAATATATGTCATTGCTTTTATTTCTCTTCGTAAGTTCCAAAAATGAAGGTTTTACCTGAAATTATAATTTAATGTGGCCGACTCGTGAATAAAGTACTGAGGAGTGGTGGTAGAATCAGGTAGATTAGAATTGATTGAGACATGTCTAGATTACATTTTTTAAGATGTCTTTGTCTATTTTCTTCTCAAAGGTGATCCACAAATCAAGGTACTGGAGCCTATGGAGACTGAAGCCTATGTCACCTATGGAGAGACATTAACTCTGAATTGCACAGCGTATGGCATGCCGTCTCCGAGGGCGTGGTCCTGGACCAAAGATGGACAGAACGCATCCCTGCCGGCCACCACCCATGAAGAGACAAAGCCCTATTCTCCAAGGTTGGCTTTTGTTCAGTTCACTTTCTACACTCGCCTGTTTTTGATTTGCATTTTACAGTACACTTGATTTGAGCACCGCCCCTTGACGTTTGGACCAATAACAGTGATGATAAATATGTCTCAGACATGCATGCACAAACCCTAACTTATTGCCCGGGCCCAATTTCACGGCGCTGCTTAACAGTTAGCAGAAAAGTTGTGTTTAGCATAGCAGAAAAATTTGCTAACCTTAAGCACTATTTCACGGCGTGTGTGTGCTAACAGTCACGCGTGCATGGAGATTGCTATTGTTACGTCACTAAGTTAAGCAAATTTTTCCTCGGAAGTAAGCGTGCCTTTTGCTGTGAAGCTTATGCTTACGGTCTCCATGAAATAGACAAAGGCTCTGTTAGCAGAAAATCGTGTGCTTAGCAGCGCCGTGAAATTGGGCCCTATGAATCCATCAAAATTCACACCCCTGTTTTGTAGGATTTGGGCTGATTCAGGATACCTCCATAGTGAAAAACTAGTTGGGGGTTTCGATGGATTCAAGGACAGTAATCCTAGCGGCACTGCAGGATTTTAATGGATTCAGGATACTTTGCATATTGAGCAGTTGGGGGACTTTGTAATTTGATGGAGTTTAAAGGAAATATACATCATTTGATTTTGCTGTAATTTTCAGAAATTGGGGGGTTGGAAATATATAGCAAATATAGTTACACTGACTTTTTTGAGGTTTTGGGTTCGAAAATGCTTTAAAAACCAAGAAAAACAATCATTTTCCTGTAGTCTGGTTCCCTGACTCCATATAAGAAGAAACAGAGCAGTTTACATACATTGGGGAATTGTATAAGGTCAGGGAACCAGTCTAGCTGGCTTGTACCCGTTCATAGGTGTGTAATAGATTGCAAACAAGTGCGATGGTCAATTGGGGCCAGTATTTGAAAAAAAAGCCAGTTTTTTCCAATGCTGGTCGGCCGACCAGCGTTGGAAATTGATACAAAAATACCACTTTTCTTGAAAATGACAGTATACTAGGTGCCATGATTTTACAGGATGCTTTACACTGTCATTCACTAACAGTCCAGCAAGGTATTTCAAAATGATTTGGTAGTTGTTTTTTTGATGTTTGCAAATGTTGTATTTTCCCTTTAAATGTATGTACTACACTGGTGGATTCTGATTTACTCATGAGGACACCAGCATTTTTTGACAAAATTAGTGGATTTTGGCAGATTCAGGATACTGATAAAAGTGCTCGGGGGTTAGGGTTAATGACACGCACGTTTGGAAAATGCGGATGTGGCAGTCATATATCTATAGTGGTCTATTGGCGATGGGCAAGCGGTGTTGCCTCTAATCTCTACATGTACGTGTATGTATACATGCAGAATCTGGTGAAGCCCAAAATAAAATCATTTTTCAGAGGGCTGCAGCTGACGCCCCCAAAAAGAATTAAAGGGTTTCTTGGTTGGAATATTACCGAAAAGTTTAAAATTCTTTTTGGGCCCATCTCTCAATTCTTATCCGGGATGAGTTTCAGGCAAGTAGGCCTACAGTGTACAGCAGGTAGAATCGTTCACTTTGTCCGGAAGAAGGTCTGCATTTGTCCCGGACATGCTCCAGGGAAATTGTCCTTAGCAACTGCATGACTCGCCAATTGCTCATTGCGAAAAGATTATTGTGGAGAAGTTGTTCGGAATCTCGCAACTTATACCTGACATGCATAAAGTGTCCGCAACTTGTCTGTAACTCGTCCAAAATATGGAGTGCTGTGGCCTCGTGGTTAAGGGCACTGATTCGTGGTCTGTTGGTAAAGCTGCAGGTCGTGGGTTCGAGTCCTGGCGGGGTCATGGTGTGTGTGCCCTTGAGCAAGGCACTTTGTCACTCATTGCTTCTCTCCACCCAGGAGTAAATGGGTACCTACATGTATGAGGGCAGTGATGGTTATTGTGATTGAATTAGCTTCCTTGCGCCTAACAGGCAGCATCGAGCTGTATACTCCCCAGGGAGCTGAGATGGTATTTGGAATGTTTAATTGGCCCAATGATTAGGGGTAATAATAATGTAAAGCGCTTTGATCTTAGTTAAAAGCGCTATATAAGAACCTGTTGTTATTATTATTATTATTATTAAATATGATTTGAGACGGACCCTAAAAGAAAATTGAATTAGTTGATATCGCCAGGAAATTTTTTTTTATTCAGTTACCGTTTTTTTCAACTGCACTCTCAGTTTTTAACTGAACTTAACAAACCCATCAACATAATTCACTTTGTAGTTTAATCTTTGTAATTTTTTTATTTTTTTCAACAGTCCCATTGCGATAACCAGTATTGTCCATGCACAGGATACATCTGCCAATGGCTGCTACGTGTGTGAATTTATTGACAGGGATGGTAATTCATACAGACAGCGTGTGAATGTCACCGTCATAGGTAATGCCAGGCACATTGTAACAGTTGTGTCGCTGTGGTGTCAATTATAGACCTACAAGGAAGCCATTTCGATTGTGTTTGCTGAATCTACGTTTTTTTTGGGCAAGTTCGTGCAAGAACTGTTGTTAAAGGGAATGTACATCATTGGCTTTTGCTGTAATTTTCAGAAATGAACTATTTGAGGGTTAGTATAATAGATCAAATATTGTTACACTGATATGTTTGTAGTTTTGAGTTCGACAATGCTGGAAAACCAAGAAAAAACAAAAATGTTTGAGTAGTCTGGCTCCCTGACTCCGCTAAAGATGAAATGGCTCAATTTAATTATAGATGCCGGAAAATTGCAGGGTAAGGAAACCAGTCTAGCTGTCCTGCACCCGTTCATGAGCATGTAACCAATAGCAAACAAAATTTGGACTGAAAAAGGTAAATTTGGAGCAGTAGTTGAAAAATAGTTAGGTTTTTCCAACGGTGATCGGCCGACCACCGTTGGAAATTGATACAAAAATACCACTTTTCTCGCAAATGACTTCACACCAGGTGCTATAATTTTACATGATGCTTTAGACTGTTATTTACCAACATCCTAGTAAGGTATTCGTAAAAATTTGGTAGTTTTGTTTGTCAATATTTGCAAATGTTGTATATTCCCTTCAACCATAGTTCGACTAAGTTAGCCCGAACTCTGTCTAGTCGACAATGGTTGGACTATCTAGTCGACTATTATGGAACCAGACGACGGGCCACGGTTCCATCGCTGGTTACCAATTGCCGCGCGCATCATAAAGCACAATGGGGAGCTAGGACCAAGACATTTCTTGATGACGTTTTGACCATTGTTTGACTACAGGCGTTTGCATGTTGCTAATAGTGTGCAGGCGTAAGTTATGTCACTAACAAACCACTAGTGGACTAATAGACCTTGCCTGAACTTGCTCCTATTTTGATTGGAGTGTGTTCCCGCTGAGCCTTACGTTTAATTTTTTTTTTAAATGTGGATATCATTCGGTATATTTAATCACAAGTTTTAAATTATTCATCAGAGCAGACTGGTATTAATTTGTAATGAACTTTTACTTTGTTGCTTTCATTTCCACTCGCAAGTTCCAAAAATGAAGGGCTAACCTCGCTTTCAATTTAATATGGCCGACTCGTGACTAAAGTCTATTTGGCCATATTTTTGAACAAAAGGAATGCGCTGCTGTGATGCCATTGTCTGGGTACAAACAGAACAAAAAGATTTAGTTTATTGAAGCGGTTTAGTACCTTTACTTCAATCAAAAACTTCAAGTTGTAAAAATATATTTTTTTTCCGTATATTAGCAACATGTAATTAACGTGCGTTAATAACATTAGATTCACATCTGTGTATATATCCCCCAAAATGGCGTTAGTGCCCTCCGTCCGTCACTCAAAAATAAGACCAGTTACAGTATATTTGGACCATATGTGATGAGGCGTCCTGGCAACATGAGACACAACTGAGGTCAAAATGAGGTATCAAGAAAGTTTGTATAATTTGTTGACATGTCAAAAAAGTAGGAAACTGAGAAAAGACCTTCAAAGGCGTAACTGTTTTGTAGTCGTGAATATAAAAGATGCCTAATATTTTTCCTTAAAAACATGTTTATTCCACACTCTTTCTACTATTTCTTAAAAATATGTGCAGTAGACCTCTAGACTATCAATATCAAAATCACCACCATTTTTTTTTTGCTTCATTTTTCTGTACTATATGGCCTGTACCCACATCTGTCTCATTTTGACAGAACGCCTTACATACATACATGTACCGTATGTACATGTATATCCTTGCTTTTTGAATGTGGCATCCAAAAAAGAGTTTTTTAATATTGTTAATTTTTTAGCTTTATATTGTTATGAGCTTCCAATGTGTCCTCACTCTTTGTGTTTTTGATGGTTTTTCTGTAGCCATTCCCGAACCCTTCATACGCGTCCCTCAGAACCACACCGCCCTCGTTGGCGGCAACGTTACATTCACCTGCGAGATCGAGACGGAAGCCGGGACAATCCGCTGGGTCAAAGGTCACAACCGACCCCTGGACCAGATGATCACGGACCAGGCCGACCAGTACGAGATACTACAGCCCTCGGTGGGCGTGTCCCAGCTTCGTATCTTAGGGGTGGGGTTTGAAGATGAGGGTGGGTACAGATGCCACGCAGGTCATACATTCAAGTCACCAGATCTGATCTATGCCGAGGTCGTGCTCGGAGTTCAGTGTAAGTAGGGCTTTCTGCATCATGTTCATAATCGTATCCAAGTTATAATTATAACCCTTAGGCCAAAAAAAAAAGTCTCCGGTTTCTGGTATGGAGCTTGCCCAAACAGTGGTGCGGTGACGCGGCTTTTTTTTTTTTTACCCGATTTTTTTGCTTCAAATGTCAGCCGATGACTGCAAAATGGTGCCCGACTAAACTTAGTGCAAATACATGGGAGTCCAGAGAGACCACATAAAGCTTATTCTCGACCATAACCCAATCTAAAAACACGTTTAAATTGTGCAGCAGCAGGATTTCAGTCAAACCAGTGAGTTTGGCGGTTTTGAGACATCATCTTTCATTGAAAAAAAACCTTTTTTTCATTTTGCCGACGCGCATGGCTACGGTGACGCGCGCACATACCAGAAACCGGAGACATTTTTTTTGTTTGGCCTTATGTGGAATTTTGTACCTGATGAATTTGTTATTCACAAAGAACTGTGGACGATCGATGAGAAAATCTCAAAATAAGGGACAATGTGATCATCAGGCAAATGCTTGCTATGCAAAAGGAAATAGGCTCCCTCTGAAAAATATAGCACATGTTAACATCCATTTTAGGCATTGCCAAAAGTATCTACTTTGCATTATGCGAAAAGAATATTATGCGAAAAGCAACTTTAGTGACAAAGTGCCTTGCCCAAGGGCACACGTCGCACCACAACCCCAGGCGTGCTGGACTCAAACCCACAATCTGTGGAATTACCTGCAGACCATGTATTCAATGCTCCAGACCATGAGGCCACGATACTCCAAAATTAAATTATAGTACCAGTACGATATTTAGTCTAAATAAGCTTTCTAATAATAATTCGCTATGTAACTTTTGGGTAAATGCAAATGATCCTATGTGCATTTAAGAGTGGTCTATTTTAAACCTGAAACATACTTATTGTCATAGCAGAATATTCATGATTTCGTGTCTACCTGTATGTCCTATCAGCGGATCCCTACCCCGAGTGTTCGTTCCAAGACGTCATCAGCATCATCTCAGGCCAGACACTGACCCTCCGATGCATCGTAACCCAAGCCAAGCCAGCGCCCAGGCTGACGTGGCGCATCCAGGAACATAGCGTGCTGCCCGAAACCTACACCAAGCTGTCGGAGGATGGGTACTCCTGGAACGTCAACACGTCCGTCCGGTTTGTGCCCGCCCCGAGGGACGACGGCAAGAGGGTGACGTTCTCCCTGGCAAGTCCGGCATGGAATGGGTCCAGAGAAGTCATGGCAACGCTCAACGTTTCATGTAAGAAATATGTTGTCCTAGTGATTTCATTAGGACTATATTTCCATTTCTATCCGACGTACAGATCGTTGTTATTTGATTGTTGGAACTCACATCACATGACATTCGTTATTGCTCCCATTCACGCCGGGGCTCAAAAAGTCCCATTCGCCCATGGGGAATGGGAAATACTATTCAACAGTTAGGATCATTCTTGTTCCATGACGCGGTATTTGTGTGCAAATGCATGCTGGTGTGCGCGTTCAGCGTTAAGTGTAATGCGTAGTTTTCCAAAGAGCCAGCGCAACAGAGTTGAGTACAAACAGTTTCCAACAATTTTGTATTGAAATACAAGTTCAAATATATCAAATGACAAGGAACTATATGTCATTTATATAAAACAAATATTGAGTGGCTTTAAATTGTGAAATGGGGGTAGTATTATCGCTCGGTAAAATCTGGATTTTTCCAGTTCACTCGGCTTTGCCTTGTGAAATGGAAAAGTCCAGATTTTACCTTGCGATAATATTCCTCCCATTTCACTCTTAGCCACTCAGTATTTGTCTACTGTTCAACCATATGACCATATACTGTTCAACTGATTGAAAACTTATTTGATTGGGGAGATGGACAACTGTTGGTGCATAATGTTTATTTTGTGTAAATCAGGTCCAAGGACTTTTTGACTTTCATTCAAAAGTGTAAGTTGTATAGTCAAGCCAAAATTTTCGTAATCTTTCCCCATTCAACATGCATACATGTGTACAGTCCACAGTGATAAGGCAATTTTATTGCCAGCTTAATTATCTCTCTGCGAAATCAGCACAACTTTAAAATTTTGCAGACTATGAAGTCTTTGTCTGCAGGTAGTAATTTTTGAAACACTTTTTTATTTCAATAATTAAATTCTGTTCCTGGGTCCGGAAATTGGGCACCAGTTCAGCCATTAGTGTTTCCCAACGTGGCACACCTGAAAAAATCTCAGAAAATCCCATGTGAGCATTTTGAGCAAGTTGATAAATTCTGATAAATCACTTTTATTTCCGCTCACATTCCCAACTACATGTATGTCCGAAAATTATGTTCTTAATGTTGGCGCATTTTAAAAGGGACCGTAATGTGCACGTTGAAATGAAATTGGAAAATCACACCAAAATGGAATTTCTGTGGAACTTAGTAGCGGGCACGTAAACTCAAGATTTATGAATGGGAATGTTTGGAGCTTGATGAAATTTCACTTCTTGTGAAATTTGAGGTAAACGTTTTGCTCTAGCAAGGCACTAGTTCGTTCGGGGCTGCGCCATGTTAGGGTACATCAACTTGCCTTAAAAGGAATTAATTAGACAAATTTTATTACATGGGCCTTTTAACAGACGTGCCTATAGTGACCGTCAGTCCCGACCCAGTCACTATCAACAAAGGCGAAGATGGTACCATCACCTGCTCGGCCCAAGCCAACCCAGACCACATGGGCTATACCTGGACCCTCCGATGCCCAAACAAACGCGCGACTAATGTCTCCACGGGCCCAACGTACACGTTCAAGAACATCAACGTGGACTACGACAAGGCCAATTTGACGTGTTCGGTGGGGAATGCCATCGGCAGGACTGAAAAGACTGTGCAGATCAAAGTGACAGGTGAGCGTTTTGCAGAGAACACGTTTTTGAAACAGATGAAGGAAAGAATGTTATCATTGCATTTGTCTCAAACTGTCAGTACCACAGTTGACTTCCTGCATTGTGTTGTACCCCATTATTATGTCTGTAATACAATACACTACAGATGAGCGCAGATTTTCACTGCCTCATTCATGTTCATGGTAAAAATGTTCAACTGAAAAAAAAAAGAATCCTGGCATGGGTTGTGGGTTACAACTTCATTAAAATAAGAATTCAAATCAACAAATGAATTAAACCACAAGTCTCTTAATGTAATTGAAAAAGATAACAATGCAAACAACGGATGCTTCAACATTCAGTGGGTGATTTTTTTTTGGTGGGGGGGGGGGGGGGGGGAGGTGAACAAAGAAATTGACTGGAGCAGGGTTTGAACCTCCAACCACCGGATTACCGTTCATGTGCTCTACCAACTGAGCTATCCAGCCCTATGTTGTTTTTTTTAGTTAAAGGCTTCATTACTCAACTTTTTGTGAGAAAGGAACAGTGTGCCCACTTAACCACTTCGCGACAGGATGATTTTGACATTGACCGGACCCAGGCGCGGGGCTGTTTTTCACGAACCTCGATGCCAGACGGGTTCAGGCCGTCATCTGTGGGTAGCACACCCTGATATTTCCGGCCTCGCTCGCTGTGAGCCGGTCACAGACAGATATTTCCGGCCTCGCTCGTTGCGTGTTTAATAATAATAATAACAAAGCATTTGTAAGGCGCACAGTATCTGACAAAAATAGTCATTCAAAGGCGCCGGTCAGTGAAAAGTCAGTGTGTGTGAAGGTAGAGGTCATCATGTGTGAGAAAGAAACTGATTGAAGAGGTGGGTCTTTAGTTGGCGTGTGAAGAGAGATAATTGGTGTATTGCCCTTAACTCGTCTGATAACGAGTTCCAGAGACGCGGTGCAGAGCTGGAAAATGCACGGTCTCCGTAGGTCGCCAAACGAGTCTTCGGGACAAACAGTTTATTGGATGACGACGACCTCAGACCTGGTCTCAGTTGACGATGTTGAACCATTTCCTTCAGATACAGTGGGGCTAAACCATGAAGAGCTTTAAAAGTAAGAAGGAGAACTTTGTAATGGATGCGGTACTGGATTGGTAGCCAATGAAGTTTGCGCAAGATGGGTGTTATGTGGGAAGATGATTTCGTTCTTGTGAGTGTGCGAGCGGCAGAGTTCTGGACAAGTTGGAGACGTTTTATCGTATGTTGTGGTAGACCTACAAGTAGGCTATTGCAAAAATCCAATCTGGATGATATGAAGGCATGGATGAGTTGTTCTGCGGCAGAGAATGTAAGTGAGTTTCTTACTGCTGCTATACGTCGTAGATGTATGTAAGAGGACTGACAAATAGAAGAGACATGTCGTTCAAGGTTCATTGACTTGTCAAAAATGACACCAAGATTGCGGGCTTCAGAGCAAGGAGCGATATGTGTATCTCCTATGCGTATGTCAGAGATGTTGACTTTGTGTCTGATGTGCTGAGAACATATGACAAGGTACTGTGTTTTAACTGCGTTGAATTTGAGGAGATTGGCTGTCATCCACTGTTGGATGTCTTTCAGGGATGTTTCAAGAATACTGTGTGTAATAGTGTCATCACCAGGAGAACTTGGACAGAAGGTGGCAAAGAGTTGTGTGTCATCTGCATAAAAATGAGGGTGTAGGCCATGACGTCTTGCAATGCGCCCTAAAGGAGATATGTATAATGTGAACAGCAGAGGTCCTAATACGGACCCTTGCGGAACCCCATGTCGGAGAACTGACCGATCAGACAACTCTCCTGATATGTTGACAGCCTGAGATCGATCTTGGAGGTATGATCTGAACCATGAAAGTGCAGATCCCTGTACCCCAAAGTGATACTGTAACCTATGTAGCAGGATTTTATGGTCAACGGTGTCGAAGGCTGCTGAGAGATCTAGCAGAACCAGGAGAACAACCCTTTTGTTGTCAACAGCGAGCATTATGTCGTTGTGAACTTTGACAAGTGCTGTCTCAACACTATGGAACTTAGTGTACGCTGATTGGAGGTTGTCCCGCAGGTTATGTTGAATGAGATGTGCATTCAACCTGGCTGCAACTACTCTCTCAACAACCTTCGACATAAAAGGCAAATTTGAAATTGGACGATAGTTCTTTAGATCATTAGAGTCCAGTGATTTCTTCTTGATGACGGGTGTGATGAGAGCTGTCTTGAAGCATGTCGGGAAGTGACCTGTGGCGAGTGACTTGTTGATGATCAGTGTTATAGGGTGAAGCAACACGTTGATGTGATCCTTTACCAATGATGTCGGTATTGGGTCAAGAGGGCAGGTCTTCGTCGGTGCACTCTTGACGATCTTCATCACTTCCGTGTCTGATGCAGGTGCTAAGGATAAGAGGGGAGATTGGCAAAATTCCAGATCTGCCTGCGCAGGATTAATGCCGGGATCCATTTCTGCTAAGTCATTTCTGATCTTGGAGATCTTGCTGTCGAAAAAGTCAGAAAAATGGGTAGCCATCTCATAGGGTGAAGAAAATGATGGGAGTATGGGTGTTGTTTTCTTGTGCAGAAGATGGTTTATGACCTGAAAAAGGGCGCGTTGGTCACCATCACAGCCTTGGATTTTCTCTGAGTAGTAATTCGTCTGGTAATACCTGTATTTGGATTTTACCAGATCTCTCTGCGATTGGAACATCTCACGGTGTATCTGTAACTTGGATTTTCGCCAGCGTCGTTCAAGTTGACGACGCTTGCGTTTGGCCTCTGCGATGTCATTGTTGTACCAAGGAATTTTTGGTTTATCTACAATTTTGCAGGTTTTGGGGGGAGCGTGAGAGTCAAGCAGTTTACAGAGTACAGAGTTGTACTGGTCGACTAAGGTGTCTGGCGTATCTGCAGGGCATGTGATGAGCGGAGATGTGGCAATGTCATCCTTAAATTTAGTGGGGTCTATCGCAGTGATCTTCCGATACGTGATTTTGTGCCTCACATATCTTGGTTTACGCAAGTCCAACCGGCAATGGACAGCACAATGGTCAGACACAAAGTCCGATGTGTCAACAGATTGTACGAGGGTGTCGAACTGTCGCGTGATCACAAAGTCTATTGTGTGACCAGATGTGTGAGTTCCAGTGGTTACCAATTGTTGCATGTTGAACTGTGTGAGGAGGTTACCAAAACGCCGGTCATTAGCTGAAGGGGTGCTGGTGGTGGCGTCATTGTTCCAGTGGATATTGAAGTCTCCTAGTATAATAAGCTGCCCAGTGAACAACGCATACCGATCAAGAAGGGAGGCGAACTCATCCATGAACGTAGTTAATGAGCTGTGTGGTGGACGGTACAACACAATGATTCGGAAGTGCTTGTTGTCATGGTTATGAATGTCAACTTCCATAGATTCAAAGGAAGATGGCGGTGGATGGCTACACTGCTTGACAACAGACGCCGTCAAGCTAGACTTGTAGACTAGTCCGACACCACCACCTCGACGCCCTTTTCTGGGGATATGTACCAGCTTATATCCCTTGGGAGTTATACTAGCGGTGTTCCGATCTTGTTCAGCACGAAACCATGTTTCTGTTAGAGCTAGGATGTCAATGCTATAGTCACGAATGTGATCTATAATCAAATCTGACTTATTACAAGCAGATTGACAGTTTATCAGGCCGAGGTGTGTCATAGTTAGGGCATTCTTGTCAAGGTGTTTGGTCGTATCCCCTTCTTTTCGTTTTCCTCCCCGGCAACCCCTATGTTGATGGTGCCTTTTAGTGATACCAAGCGATCTAATGTTATCGAACACTTTGGTGGGGAGTTTAGATCTTGGGTTGGTCATTTTGACTTGGATGGTTATCAGTTCATCCTTGGTATACTGCAGCCCTTTCCCCGTGTACATGGTTGATAGGGACAATGTAGTAGCAATTGTCAATAACAAAAGACACTTACACCGTGCGTGAATCATGGTTAGAGACCAGTGGCATATAGCTGTCGAAAAGCAACATCAAATGTCACATTACAGAGTTCCATACTGATGACAACAGTTTGACAGGAATGGACAGGAACCCAACACACACCTGATGTGCAATCTTGGAGTCATCAAGAATTGACGCAGTGGTAGAAAATGTGACTTTTCAAGAGACCAAAATGTGGGGCTGCCTCAAGGCGCACACCGTCAGATATCCATCATCCGTACCGAATTTCGCAAAACCTTTGCGTGTATACACGGCATCCGACGTGAAATGGTTAAATAAACATTTTTGTGTGGTCCCACAAGCGAACAGACATTTTCATTATTTGATGTTATAAAAAAAGTTATCGTAATTCACAAGAAACAAAAATTTGAAGAATATTTTGTCTTTAAAAAAAAAAAAAAATTAAAAACTGCCTTATCCTCATCACCTAGTGCAAAATTGATACCATTCAGCAATCACTAAAAGACTGTCGAATTATATTCCCAAATTATGTGATTGTGCTGCCCATGGTGGATTTTCTCTATTGTGATTTGCTCATCTTTGAAGAAAACTTGTCCTGAAGTTGCGATAGAACCAAGATTACTGCTATCAAGATTTTAACATAAATAACAAATACAGAATAGACATGTTAAAAAATTTAACAGACATTACACTTTCACAATAGTTTCTTTTTAATTGTTTTTGTTTTTCCCACAGACAACAGTATCTCAACTGGAGCCAAGCTAGGTTTCTCTATATCAGGAGGCCTGTGCATTATCATATTGCTGCTAGCGAGTATCTTTGCTCATCGCTACCGCAAAGAAATCAAACTGTGGCGGGCACGAAGAGCTGGCAAAAACAAAGGTAAAGAAAATGAATAATAAAACTCATTCTTAATCCTTTTTTTTAAAAGAGTAGTAAATCACAAAGTAACACTCAAGTGCACTTGAGTGCCCGACACGTATGTGTATTTTACAGAACCGCTGTATTTTTCGTCATCACCAAGTAACACCCGGCGCAGTGCGGTACTGCATACGCGTACTCCATACATTTCCGTTTTCGCGAAGTAACAGTGATTTTAATTTTACCAGTAAAACAGTTTTTAATTAAAATTTTATTGAAGTCCACAAGTATATGGATGGATTAAATTTGTGTCAAACCTTTTAAAGCATTTTTCTGTGAATTGTATTACCGCTACATGTACATACTTTTTTCCCTCACTTGCTCTGTACAAAAGTATAGGAGATTTCCAAAGTTCAGCTTTTTTGACACCTTTTCCAGCTGTTTTCAGCTATATTTATCAGTGGTCATTCACACTCCTGTTCGTGAAAACGAAAACCATTATATTGCATGTCTGCTTTGCGCGCGCACAGCGGGTGTTAGTTTTTGAAACCAAAATTGTTGATTATGTGGTTTTCACAAAGTAACACCCAGTAGTGCGTGAGTGCTATTGGTAGTTCGTGAAAACGGTGACAAAATGTTCTCTGCTTTCAGTTGTACATGTAATTGCCAATTAAATCTCTTTCTGCCAATGGAAACGAGTGAACATACCTCATCTCCAACTTCTAAGATGCTTCCTGACTACATATGAGACAATCTTTGTTTGTGTGTGTTCCAATCTAGAAGACAAAGAGTTTGATGTCTTCATCTCCTACAAGAGCAGCAGTCCTGATGAGGAGTTTGTGATGCGGGACCTGATACCCCGTCTGGAGCAGGATGGATACCGCGTCTGCGTCCACTACAGATACTTCCTGCCTGGAAAAAGTGAGTGTTAGCTTGTTTGCCTATACAGTGTGTATCAAAAACAATGCAAACAAAATATTATACAAATAATGAATGTTTGTGAGTGCAATGGTAAGAATAATTTCATGAGGTGACAGATGAAATGTTCCTTCGTCTCGTGGAATGGAACATTTCATCTGTCACCGAATGAAATTATTCTTTCCATTGCACGAACGTGAAACATTCATTATTTGTTTTATATAACACCTGAATAAATCCTTGTCATCTGATTGGTTGACTTTTAATAGCCAATTTATTCAGGTTAAAAACTGGTTGAGAACAATCATATTCAATTTATCTCGATTTAAAAGAGTGCCACCACCAGCAGCAGTGACACCGTGCAATTGAACTTGTATTCACCGTGCAATAGAAATTCTATTGCACTGTGTGCTGTGCGCCATGCGCACGCCGTGCGTTGGTATGAATAATTCAATGGCATGTGATCAACGATCCACCAATGGTTTGAAAGATACGTAATTCCACTTTAAAATGAGACATCAAACCTCTAAATCCGATAATTTTTGACAGCGTTATGAGTAATTTTTCAAGAGAGGTCAAATTGACCATGGGACAAAGTTTTCCATTTCAGGCATTGGGACAAAGGTAGCCTAATTGCCTCTGTGTGGATAATTGCCCGGCCTTCAAAAGATGTGTTTAGCGAATAAACACAATTCTTAACACTTTCTTGCTATCAGTTTATAAACATGTTTACATGCCAAACATTTTTAATATGAGGTGATAGCAAGAAAGTGTTTAGAATTGTGCATACTCTTTAAAGACATTTTTGTAGGCAGTCAAATATCCACACGGAGGCAATTAAGCTACCTTTGTCCCAATGCCTGGAATTGAAAACTTGGTCCCATGGTCAATTGGACCTCTCTTGGAAAATTACTCATAACTCTGTCAAAATTATCGGATTTGGACTTTTGATGTCTCATTTTAAAGTGGAATTATGTATCTTTCAAACCGTAGCTATATTATCTATGTTGGTTACACATTCTACGTCTAGCATTCACTTATATTTTGTTTGCATTTTGTTTGATACACACTGTATGTAACTGACCTTATTAATTCATCCAGGGAGTAGAAGATTCAAGCATTTCATTTAGGGCATCCCTTTTTATTATTTCTGTGGTTCTTTTTTTCCCCGCTGAAATAGGGTCATTCGGTCAGCCAAAAAATAAATGTCTGAAGAAAAACTAAATTGTAATTGCACCAGTATAGCTGGTTAAATTAAATGATGCCGAGTGCATATTGTCTCTTGATTTGTTTGTTGCAATGAAACTATCATGGGTTGATATCACTGAACAAGTTATTTGAGCCATCTTTGTGGCAAGATGTAGTTGACCATTGATCTCCATTAGTGAGACTGGATAGCACATAGCACCCTCCATCTTGTGCAGGCACACGTAGTCATTGGTGAAGGTTTGAAAGTTTGAAATGCGTTCGTCACAGACAGACCACGCAGCACGTGCACGTCACGCGTGCACGTTCGTAGACGTTAAACCTGCACTGTACTAATCAGCTGTTTGCGTTCGCATTTTCCAAATCTTCACTGCGCGTAAGTATACGCGTGTCCTATCCAGTTTCTACTAATGGAGATCAATGTAGTTGACTTTACATTGTATCGTGATCCCTGGCTACATGGCATTTGTGGGTTAATGGCTGCTAGCATTGGACAAAGATATTGATTAAATTGTACACTCAACCAAAAAAGAAAGTCCCCCTTAATCCTTTTTTGTCTAAATCAAACGCTACTGGGCACATCTTGCTCAAATGACGACTAATCAGTACAGCAATCCTTAGCAACCCAGCCATAATCTTTGGCCCAAAACAGTGATAATGTGTACACAATTGTGCAATTTATGACAAATGGTACCTAAAAAAGTTGCACTTTTGCATACGTGCAAGGTGAGTGTGAACCACAACCTGCAGGTATACAAAAGTGCAACTGTTTTCGGTATCATTTGTCATAAATTGGATAATTGTGTACACATTATTACTGTTTTGGGCCAAATAAAGTGTATGGCTGGATTACTTAGGAATTTGTGTACTAATTAGTCATTATTTGAGCGAGAGGTGCTCCGTAGTTTATGAGTTCGACAAAAAGTATTGGAAGGGGGGACTTCCTTTTTTGGTTGAGTGTGTATTGAACATTTATAATAAAAGGCCATGTCTTCATTTAACTTGAAGCAAAATGGAGCTTAATTGTCATATAATTGTATTGATATTAATTTCAGGTATCATTGACAACATCTCGGATGCGGTCCATCGCAGTCGCAAGACGCTCCTCCTCCTGTCTCCGGGCTTCATCGAGAGCGAGTGGTGCTGCTACGAGTTCCAGGCTGCCCTCTCCCAGATGCTGCATCTTCAGACGGACCTCATCCCGGTCATCTTCAAGGACCTGGGCCCCCAGGAGAACCTGTCCCCAGACCTGCAGACCATCCTGCGTACGCTGTCCTACGTCACCTGGCCGGGGGCCATCCAGGGAGGCCGGTACCAGACCCAGGAGGACCTGGACTGCTTCTGGTCGCTGCTGTGGCAGTCGCTGCCGGCGAACCCACTGGGACGGGAGGAGCCTGTGGAGCATCATCCGGCCCAGCTTGAGAGGGAGATTAATCTTGAAAGTCGTAACAGAGTGGAGGAAGATGCCGGTGACCTGAGCTTGAGTGGAGATCAGGTTGTGTTGCTGCATGATTGAGATTAATCATTATACATGTATAGAGCATCTGCAAGGATATTTGTGACCTACTGTGGCAAAATGAGGAGTGTCCCCCAAAACCTTGCTTTGAGTATACACGCCTGAAGTTGGACATACTAGCAAAATTGTGTCAAAATCGATATTGATTGTTTTGCATTTTTGAGTAGCCAAGGTGTCCAAGATTCACACTGTGCAGTTTTGATTGGAAAAAATACCTAAAGGGAAAGCAACTGGTCCCGATGGCATAAGTGTTAAGCTTCTTAACATGGGTAACATTGCTGATCTTTATAACAACTTCATCATGCTTTACAAACCATCGTTTCCTATTCCCAGAGTCGTAGAATTCATGATGTACTTTTAACAAAAAAAATGTGACTGTATTAAATATTATTGCATAGTCTTGACATTCGTGAGTTTTTCCCTTCATTTTTATTTCCTTTTTATAATTGTATAACGTCTAAGTGATATCCATCAATAATAATGTAATAACATTTTTTTTTAATTTCCTATTCTCGCATGACAGACTGCACCGGATCACTCCTGTTAAACCAGGAACCAGGGTATCTCTTTCTATTCTTTTTCAGAAGGATATCAATCCCCATGTTATGCAAACACTTACAAGATCTGAACTTTGTTTGAAGAACAATAATCGTATGGGATTAAAAAGTACACCATCTCACTACTCCTTTCAAGATGCATACCGCAATCACATTTTTCCTCTTCTCATGAATTTACAATTGGAATGTTTTGTTAAACGGCAAAACAAGTATTTATCATATTTTTAGGAGTCTCAATCCTCTTCAAAAAGTTCTTATGTCGTACGGGCAAATGAAAATCATATTATTTGTCTTACTGCCAAAATTTCATTTTTATTAATCAAAGTATTCGACCAAAGGATAAATACGGTAGCATTCCCAAATTACCCTCAAGATAGATTACATGCATATCTCTTTGATCTACATGTCAAAGTGTAGTGCAATTTCCATATTATGCAGTCAATATTACTCATAATATTGTGCAGTACCTTTTCCAATTTTCCATTTTTGTAATAAATATGCATGTAACATTTGCTGTTTCACATTTGAAGTTGAAGTTTCCCATTCGTGTCCTTTATTTTGACTGCAATGAATACAAGTCTATTTTAATAATGATTACTATTCCTCACTCTGTAGCCTCCAAAACCATATTTCCTCCTTCCTACCAAATATTCAACCCCATCGCCACTGGCTGCCCCCTTCCTGCCTCCTATATAGTGAGATTCATGGATACGCCATTGAAAAGATCAAACCGAGTTTCGTCTGAAATACCTAATTGTACATTTGGTGCATACAAACTTTTGGGCGTAACACCTCCAAAACCAGAAGTTCAAATTGATAGATAATAGTCTAGCATTCAAAATTTGTTTTGACCTTTCCAATGAGACATTGCACGAGAACTTCGGCCTGTACACAGAAAGTTTGACAGAGTTGTGTTTTTTCTACGCTATAGCGTAGACACCCCCCCCCTGCAAAAATTCCTGGATCCACCCCTGTCTATTGATTCTGAACCCATACACAGAGTCGATCGAAACTCGGGACTTAATTCGTCAAGTTCATCATGACGCTAATCGCGTGTTAAGATGTCCAAGGTTACGGACTAGGCCTCTACATGCAAAATTTACATTAACCACTCTTATACGTTGCTTTTAACAGCTTAATATATGTTGAATCATTCCAATGCAGGGATTGGGGTTCAAGGCGTGGATGTTTTACCCTTTATACCCCTTTTATCTGACGTCAAAGCTGAGGACAGGTTTTTGTTCCTCTGGTATTACGCATGGTAGTCAAATGGCTTACGTGTAGATCTTATTTTTGACAATATCGTGACCGACTGGTCCAAATAATTTTTTTTAATAATTATATTTTTTATTCTACTTACCTCCTTGCTTAAATGACATTTTCTAACACATCTAAGTGACTGCATAATTATGAGGACACATGGAAGTTCCAATATGGCTACCATTATACCCTCACGTTGAGCGCATTCAACCTTTTCCCCAGATATCAACAAAGCGTCTTGCCAAACCTCAGTATGGATGAGCGTCAAATTCACAAAGTTGGAACAATACCCTATAACACAACTATGGACACATCATGTGAACAATTACAACATCATGATATTTAGCGCTGTCTTTTTAACAGCTTTAAAAATAATACATCGCAATTATCTATACATATAGACAGTATAGTCCATTAGCTTTTCAACAACAACAACAAAATGTCCAATCATTTTATTGAGTTATGGCCAATTGAAAACGAATACCGATTTTTTATTTTGTCCACGGCAACTATTATTTTGACTGCCGCAATAAGAACACGGACTGAAACTTGATTTTTGTGAAAAAAGGCTACCAAGTCCAAGTAGAGGGCAGAGACAGAGCAGCAAAGTAAATAAGAAGTTAACCACACAGTTTTGAATTGGCCATAACTCAACAAATATTTACCCAAAAGTAGATATTTTTCGTTATTGAAAAGCCAATGAACTATACTCTCCAAACATGTATCGATATTTGCGATGTATTTTTTTAAAAGCTGTGAAAATGAGGGAACATCGGGTTCGTGTTTTTTTTTTAAGACACCCTGTACAATTTCGTCTGAAATTATTGCATTTTTATACTTTCTGATATAAACAAGGTCCATCGAAAATCCGAATCAGTTGAGTGCGCTATAAACCGCGAATTCATCGTTGGGTGTCATCACTATGTCCGTTGAGTTGAGATTGTAGAGTCGGCACTGCTTGAGACTCTTGCCGAAATCGAAGGAAAAACAGTCGGTCTCCTTCGTGCATAAATCGGCGCAGGTGGTCAAGGATCTGGTGGTCTTGGTCGACAACGGGTTGGGGTTGTCGATCAGACCCTTCTTGTGCAGCCTCTCAAATTTGGTCGACTGAATGATGCGAGCTGGGAAGAAATAAGACGAATAAACAAGATGGGGAGTGCGATTTAAATACCAGCTTTAAATCGTACAAGTATAATAATTATATGCACGTGTTTAAAGCCGGCGGATGACGTGCAACGCGCAAGCTACTACTTCTCTCCCCAAGTTATATTATTAATATCGGAGTTCGATTTTTAGCAAAATACTTACATTGAGTGCACATTTCTGGACTAGGCTGCCCCGTGTTCCTGCCCTCCCCCATCTGTGGTGTAACTTACGCCACTGGTGCCCGTAGCCTTAACAAGGGTAGTGCACAAGCAATATCTTACACTCGGCTATTAACACTACATTTGGGACAAAATAGTGCAAATGTAGGTACGTGTTAAAATCTGCACAAATTGTGATAAATAATAAGGAGGGCCCAGCACCGCCTTTGGCACCCCCGCCCCCATCCCTGAGATCGCCAACCATGAAGACAACGATCAGAAAACTTTCTTACGGTCACATGCTCTGATGGTCGTGTGCTCCTCCACGGTCAACTCGGCAATTTGCAGGATCGGCGTCGTTACCCCGGAGCTCGACGGATCAATGTCCAGGCTGACGTACCGAGCCATGCGGGGCGTGTCGCACGGGAACTCGGTCACCGTTCCTTGCGAGGACTGGGCCGCGGTGGCCGGCGAGCTGCACGGTCGATTCTCGGCGTAGTTGGCGCTCAGTCCTGCTCGCACCACGGTGCCGAGGAAGCGATTTAGCCCTGGGTTAAAATGGGGGAAGATTCGTGCGAATTTAGACCTTTCATGAAATGATGGAGGAGTGACTCAGTCATGTAGTTGATTTGTATTTGAGAGGTTGATCCGAGTTTACACGTTTTGGTTTTTAAAATTTAACACAAAGGTTTTACCTCTCTTGTAGAGATAACATGCAATGTACATCGTCACCGACACCACGAAGTAACACCCATCTTCATACCAGTAAAAACTAGCAATCGGAGAAAACGGCAACTAAAGTTGAACGCCTTCTAAAACAACACTTTGCGTCAAAGCGACAGAGTATTTTCAGTTGGGTTTCTCGTTGTGGACACTTGATGAATTGAATTAACTAAATCTGCTGTTTTTCACCCGTTTGTGTTTGAAATAAACAAGAAATAAGAGAAAAAAGATGAGTGTTAGTTCGTGAAACCGAAAAGGCTGCGAAACTGTAAATTTTCGTTTTCACGAAGTAACACTCTTCAATGTATTCAACACGAGGAAAGTGCAACTTCAGGTCAGCGCGCGCGCGCTCATAAAACTTATTACAAGAAGAGTGTTACTTCGTAAAAACGTTTTTGCTCACTTATGAGCAGAGTGCGCGCCATGCATTGCAATGGTGAATGGAACTTGAGTGTTACTTCGTAAAAACGAAAATTGTCACTTTTGCGCAAAAGTTACCATGGATACTTAGCGTAAATATTAAAGTAAAGCTCTTGAAGCTTTGAAACTTCGTGCAATGGTAGGCCTTGATGAATAATGTTCAAAAAAAAAAAAAAATGAAAATCGAAAAAAAAAACATGGTTTAACACGGTAAAGTGTTACTTCGTGGTGTCGGTGACGACATGATAAATCTTCAAACTGCATCCTCCCATTGGATTCAAAAACCAAATTTCAACCAACGGCGTACTGTGGTCAAACTCATAACACTAACCCTTGAGGGGTCTCATTTTTTGGAGAGGGCACTCAATGGGCTTTTAACGATAAAAAAAACTCACTGCCTTCCCCAAATTCTGAGAGGGGCACACAGGGAGCACAATCGTCGAGCCGGGGCTAAGTTACACACTGATCAAGGCTCGAATGAAACAAATAGCCCCCAAAAAGGCAGGTACAAATCTAGTAACGGACCATTATTATTTTGTCTCTTTATTACTTACTTATCAACGTGATAATCACGTCCACCCTTACCCCAAAAGCCTGACTGCTTGCATAAAAAAAAATCGCTTAGTTTAAGACTTTAAAATCGCAATAAGTTTGATATCCCTTCACCACCCTGAAATATTCTATTAGTATGAGATCGTTATTGTCGTTACAATACCGCAGCAATCCAATCGGATCTGGACCGTGATTTGTCCCACGCAGTGTTCATTTTGAAGGTCGATTTTCCACCATGGATGCGGGTCACCACCATCATCAACTGAAAGAGATTTAAAAAGTCACAGTAACAATGTTTCGTCTGGTTCAATGGAAAGTGAAATACTAATATTATTTATAACAACGCCCACCTATAATTTTATTCAGGGCGCTGTAGTCGGCTAATTTCTTTAAGATTGATAGATTGTGCAGCTGGTTCTAGGACGATGTATTCTTAGCCGCCTAGTCAGTCAACTGAGTGAAGGGGGTGGTGTATTTAACACCCAAAATTGTGTAACGTGCCCTTTTGTACGCCGTATTTCCCTTCTTGACCAGCAGTCCCCACCAGTATTTTGTAAAGATTGCCACCCCCCCTTTTTGTTTACACAGGTGCCTTTGTTTGCACCAGCGGTCTTTTTTAACGAGTTTCCTATTTTGGAATTTCGTGAGAACGTCGGCAATAATTGTGCCGCCCTGAAAAGCGCCACCTATTGTCCGAGAGTGCCCATGGTCGTGCCGTTTGAACAGCGCCGCCATAGCCCCCCCCCCCCCCCCCCCCCCCCCCCCCCCCGCATTTAGATTTTACGGAGGCCAGGTGACCGGTGTATAAAAAAAACCTGTCTATCTTTCAGCATGGATGAGGCGAGTGCCCTTTTCACACCCCTCCCCCCTTTCCAGAATAAATTGACCTTGTTACGCCACTGCACCGTAGGTCAGTCAGTCAGACTAAGCGCAAAGAGGACTATCCGGTCCTATCCTCTTGGACCAGCAAGTCACATTGCACGATTATGGTCAATTACTCCTCCCACAAATTACAGCAACCCTCCCTTTACCTTTTTGCCCGCAATAATAGTAAATACAGGATGGGTAAATATAAAAAAAAAAATCGGATCTCACGCCGCAACGAATAAACTCCTTTGTACCGCATAAAAAAAACAGGCAACGCAACTACTAATTCAAAGCCCGGCAAGGCACCTGGCTATAATTTGCATGTGCAAGATGATTTTTGAACACGTAAATGAGTCCCATCCGACTGATTTTTTTCAACTTTCACTCGGGAGGTAACAACCTGAGTACATACAGTGTTTACACGTCAGTGAAGGGCAAAACTCATTTTGATTTACATCACCCCGACGCAAAAATTCCATCTTATATAACACGTAAATGATCCTGCACCCGGGTGAGAGAGCAGATAGTTGGAGCATACTGCTCGACACCTTGTAGGAATGTGTTTGGTCGTAAAGTGGCTTTTATATTCTTCATGCGCAGAGTAATAATGCGCGGAGGACTCGGGAAAGGACTACGTGTCTGCAGCATTATAACAACAGAGAAATGATTGTCCTCACTCTATCTTATAACAGAGAAATTATCCGCTACGTTTAAGAGCTTACTCGTGTGTGCGAACGTAGATGGAATTCCATCGATCGCCTTGTACGAAGGGAAAGGACTGCTGTGCGTTGTGCTCTGTGATGTTGGCTTTCCACTCAAAGAAATTGCTGCAAAAATAAATGAGTGATAAATTTCAAACAATATAAAGGAAGAAATTACAAAATGTTTTCCCCAAAAGGAGGAGACTTTCACAAAGAATGCTGCCCTAAAAAGAGAGTATGTTGGGTTAAACGTAATTTGGGGGATGGTATGGACAACTGTAGTAGCCTAGAAGTACATGGATAGGGAGGTTTGAACAACAGGTTAAAGGTTAGACGTAGAAACCCACTGTCTGTCATTTACGAAGAAACTTTGAAAACCCCTGCTCGTCTACATGTAATTATGCCCCCCCCCCCCCAAAAAAAAACCACCAATTTTTGTCACACTATAGCGCCGCATAAGTGACAATTCAGGTCCCTCAATAATAAAAACAGTTGACGTGTGTGTATAAGAAACAACGTTTGATAAATAAATGAAGGTACTCGAATCAAGATTAGCGCTCCAACGGCTCCATCATTTCGAGGATTTGTTTTACCCCGACTTCGCGCGAAAATTTAACGCAAACGTAAATTTTTAAGGAAAAAAACTGATACCTGGTGCACGTTTATATTAGACCATGTTCTTTCCGACAGGACGAAAGTTCGCCAAAAATCAGTGTTTCGTATTGTTTACCAGCAATATTATTTTCATCTGGGTCACTGAAAATCCAATAAATCATGCCTTAAAATTTCCCACATTTATGGAGAAAATGTTGAAACACCTTGTTTGGTTACATCTGATGTGGTGGTTTGTTGGCATAGCCTGCACGTATTTCCAGCAATGATAATAAAGCCATCGAAATTTGACCGAACAGGCAACATATTGACTGGCACCGCATGACATTCATATCAATGATCGATCAGGTTCTACGTTTGTTTTAGACTAACACACTTTGGCGATCCTAGCATAGACCTACATATAGTTTTTCTGTTGGAAGAAGCTTCTTGAAAAGAAGCATATGTGACTGGCTCAAATTTAAACTTTGTATCCAGAAATTAAGTCGCACGGTAATTACAAATGTACACGCAAACCGCCGAATTTTCAAGGTGTTATTGTGGGGACGTTAGTGCTGTACTTTTTAACGCTATCGCTAACTATCCCCACATCATGAAAAACGCCATTTAGAGCCCCAAAGGGCGCGTTCCGGACGAAAGTGTCCCTTTAAATTATTCAGGGTTAACTCTTTAATGCCGGGAAAATTATCGATATTGAGTGACTTTATATTAACCATGTTGTACCAGTGAATGATTAGAGAGAAACACGTTTCATCTCCAATCGTTTTTCAAAAGTTCCATGCTAGAAAAAAAATGCTACCTCTGTCAAAAACAATTTCGGGATGATTTTGTCAAACCTTCCCCAGCTTCCTCTATGGGGCAAGACGGGATCGCAGTACGTCCATGATACGACCCTCCCCTTTTCCCCTCGCTTTTATACCACGCACACTATAAACAAGGATCTAATAACCAAAATTATGTGTTAAAGCTAGTGGTCTTTCTTTTCCCTCGACCTATCGTTAAACAAGACGTATAGTTACACATGCATGGTTGTTTGAACGCACACATTTCATGTATGACTATGAACTTGAACACTACTAAAAGCGAACCAACGCATCAACTTACCTCTAAATCCGCAGTGAACGTATTGAAAGCAGCACAGCTGGGTTACCAAGAACAGAAGACACATATCTCCCTCAGAACCCAATCGCCAGTGAAGACGATTCCCTTCCTTCAGCATTTTGAATTTGTATTCCTTTCATCTATTCCTCAGTGGATGAAAACTTGAAATGGCGGAACGCTTGTACAGCTTTGCTGATCGCTCCAATTCATTCTAAAGGAACTAATCAATTTTATGGCGTTGGCACCTTCGCGTTCAAGTAATAATGAACAGTTGCCTTGGCAACGAACTCCGTTTTATGAGGCATTTACCGAGAGATCTGACATTTACCGAACCTTCCAATTACCCGACTAACGGCGCAGCTTGCTGGCCGAATGTTTCTTCACAACATTGTAGCTATGTTTATTACTTCAAAAACCAGCGCAGCACGATTGAAAAATTATAGAGATCTATGTCTGTTTGCAACAGAACATAGGGCTTTTCTACGGAAGCCCTTTCGTGCCAGATTTTAAAAGTGAAAAAAAAACCTTTTTATTGCGAAATAACGCGATAAATTTGTGAAATAACGCAATAGTATTGCGAAATAACGCAATAAATGTATTGCGAAATAACGCAATAGTATTGCGAAATAACGCAATAGTATTGCGAAATAACGCAATAGTTATTGCGAAATAACGCAATAGTTACTGCGAAATAACGCAATACTTATTGCGAAATAACGCAATACTTATTGCGAAATAACGCAATACTTATTGCGAAATAACGCAGTAGTTTTGCGAAATAACGCAATAGTATTGCAAAATAACGCAATAGTATTGCGAAATAACGCAATAGTTCTTGTTAAATAAACTCAATGTTTTTTGAGAAAAATGCATGAGTCTGAATGATTGAACCTATAGGCGTACTTCGGCCTACTTAAGGCCTACTTTAGGCCTACTTATAGGAAATTCTCACGTCATATTTTCTAACAGATAAAGTTTGTATGGTGTATAAAACCCACTCTGCATGGCGGATCCCGGATTTGTAAAGGGGGTTAGCGGAGGACAAGTAATAAATAGGACCAAAGACCTAAACAGTGACCAGAGATTGTATAACGAGATTGTTATTTCACGAATCTTAGGGAACATTGGGATTTTCTACCCAGTTGGCATTTTTCCAGACGGAAGATGATGGTTAATCATCCCAACCATCCCCATAACCCACCACTGCCTATTGACCCCCATAAAACACATTTTAGCTTTGAGAAGATCAAAAACATCAAACCCACACCGGATAACTATAACATGTTCACCGAACTTGTTAAGAAAACAGCACGAAGGCACATCCCCCGAGGCTGCAGGGTGGAGTATATTCCTGGTCTCTCTAAAGATGCAGCTGTTCTTTACAATGACTATGTTACAATGTTTGAAACTGATCCCTTCTCAGAGGCAACAACAGCAGCTGGGGAGAAGGTGATGGAAAGCATCTACCAAGAGCGCCAACAAACCTGGAACGCACTGCTTGAGGCAACAGACATGTCAAAGAACAGCAAGAAGGCGTGGTCTCTAATCCGCAAGCTTCGTGGTGATCCCAAAGTTGCCCCTCAACAACCCAAGGTCACTGCAAATCAAGTTGCGCATCAATTGCTCTTGAATGGGAAAAGCGGAAAAAAGCAGCAAAGGATCAAGCTAGACCGTAACAAGTGCACCGAAGACCCTGGAAGAGCTAGAAATTGGCTTGTCAAGTCTCAAACCAGGAAAGGCCATTGGGCTAGACAACATCGCGACTGAGCAGATCAAGTACTTTGGACCTGAGGCAAAGAAGTGGCTTCTGCAGTTGTATAACCACTGTCAGACAACACATAAGCATCCTAAGATCTGGAAGAAAGCTCATGTGATAGCGTTGCTAAAACCAGGGAAAGATCCATCAAGCCCAAAGAGCTACAGACCAATTTCACTTCTCAGCCATACCTACAAGCTGTTCGAACGCCTAATCCTTAATAACAGAATAGCTCCAACAGTAGACGAACGCCTCATCCCTGAGCAAGCAGGATTTCGTCCTGGAAAATCAACAACAAGCCAAGTGCTCAACCTGACACAACACATCGAAGATGGTTTTGAGAAAGGGATGGTAACCGGTGCAGTCTTTGTTTACCTGTCTGCAGCATATGATACAGTCAACCATAGATGTCTGCTTAGCAAGATCTTGGAGCTGACAAAGGATATCCGGCTAACAGAGCTGATTGAACTGAAAGTATGCTCGAGAACAGGCTGTTCTTTGTGGAGTGGGGTGGCAAACGAAGCAGATGGCGTAGGTTGAAGAATGGTCTTCCTCAAGGGAGCGTGCTTGCCCCCATTCTTTTTAACATCTACACCAACGACCAACCGAGAAGTGATGAAACATGCCGCTTTGCATATGCTGATGATCTGAGTGTTGCCGCACAAGATACGGACTTCTCAGTAGTGGAGAAAAGGCTGACTGGTGCTCTCAGTCAGTTAACACTGTACTATGAAGAAAACCACCTCCGTGCCAACCCATCCAAGACACAGGTGTGTGCCTTCCATCTGAGAAACCACGAAGCCAAGCGCCAACTTCAAATAACCTGGTCTGGAACGACTCTTGAACACTGCGAGCACCCTGTCTACCTAGGTGTCACCCTTGATCGCTGTCTCACTTTCAAGACCCGCATTCAAAGGACAAAGGCGAAAGTGAGTGCACGCAGCAACATCTTGTGCAAGCTCACCAATACAAGATGGGGTGCAAGTCCGCAGACCCTGTGGTCCACTGCCTTAGCTCTCTGCTACTCCACAGCTGAGTACGCGAGCCCAGTATGGGAAGATCTGCCCATGCTAAGAAGCTAGATCCAGTCCTCAATGCTCCCTGCCAACTGATCACAGGCTGTCTCAGGCCGACAAACACCAACAGCCTCTACACCCTGGCAGGCATAGCCCCGCCAGACATCAGAAGATCAGCAGCCAGCATGAAGGAGCGTCAGCGACAGACAAATGACGATCGACATCCTATGTTTGGCCAGACACCAGCACAGAGTCGCCTGAAGTCAAGGAAGAGCTTTCTGAAATGTGTAACTCCTCTTGAGGATGACACAACAAGCGAGGCACGAGTCACCATGTGGGCAGACAGAAACAACAGTTTGCCACCCTCGGCAACCATGGGGCTGATGGCTAGAGAGCAACTACCACCTGGTGCAGACGCAAGCTGGGCAAAGTGGAAATGCCTCAACAGTCTTGGTTCCAAGACGTTCTATCTGCGTTTGTGTACGTGTGTAATCATGATACTACATGTACTAATGAATACGTTTGTAAAACAATTGTTTTCAATCAACAGAGGGCGCACTTCACAGGACCACAGCGCGCATATCGTACATTACAGAAGTACAGAATCGTTCGCGCTAGAATCGATACTCGTTGAATAAACACAGTGAATAAGTATCGAATACATTGCAGAATCGATAACAGTTTTTCATCGCGGGCTGTGCCTTTACTAGTGCAATACAATTTTCGCGCGGAGAAAAATATTCAACGAAGGTCTTGGAACCAAGACTAGGGTACCACCCGATCACAGTTTTAATAAATATTTTGTTTGATAAGGTCCGTTAATTAACTCCGCCAAGGAGGTCATGTTTTCACCGGAGTTGATTTGTGTGTTGGTTGGTTGGTTAGTTGGTTTTTCTGTGAACAAGATAACTCAGAAAGTTTTGGACGGATTGTTCATAAAAAAATCTTTTTAAGGGTGGTCCTTGGTACAAGTACAAACGAATTAGGTCGTTTACTTTTGTTATGGACGATAGTTCCTCGCGGCTTTAGTAAACGTCCTCACATTGGCGTCTGTAATTGTCAAACTCATCTAAAAAAAAAATGCTATTTGCGTTTTCTATATATCCTTGTTGTTCTTTATTGCGCACATGTCTGCCAAGGCGCGACCTCATCCGGCATTTGGCAGACGCGCTCAATGCCAACGTTTTTTTCCAAGAAACACTACTAATGAAGCTACTCCCTCCATGTGAATGTGGTTAGGGAAAAATCTCAACCACTGCCATCCTTCCTAAAGACAAATAGAGCCGTATCCAATAATATGAAACATCTTTTAACAGAACATTTCTATAAAATGTATTTTGTTGCCATTTTTATGTTTTTGAATTAAAAAAAACTAATGCGTTGAATTGAGAAAAAAAAAGGGTACAAGTCAACTCAATAGGATATATATATTTTTAAAATATATTTATTGCTGTTGGAGTGGTAAGATGGCGGACGATGACGTCACTTCTGACAGTCACTGGGCTACTCAGGCGTTGTATCAAATACAATACCTACATATGCATTTGCACCTTCGTGTTGGTGATTTAATTAATACTCCATTATTAAACGTGGGCCCTTTTTCATTCGTTGTCTCTCTTTTAAAGGTGAATAACTGTTGTACTGCTAGAAAAAAAATAGCAATTATTTTGTTAAACTCTTTCGAGCCAAAAACTCGGAAATATCAGAGGGGCAGTGACCTTTAAAGTTTTAACATTCAATATGAAATATCTCCTTTTTGGGGGGCTTTACAGCCTGTTTAAATTGTGCGACAAGGGAAAACCCGGGGAAACCCGGCGACGGAACGGGGAAACCCGGCATGAAACTTCACGAGAGACTATTGCATTTATTTTAGCCAGTGACTGAAATGTATACGAAGACCCAGAGGGGACACTGGGACATGAAGATTTTTTTGCTATACGTGTTCGTACGTACGTATATAATACCTACATACGTAACACGAAACAAAAAATCGTCGTGTCCCCGATGTCCCCTTTGAGTCTTCGTAATAATGCGTGTAGCGAGGCCACAATACAAAAGTGAGTGGCACTGAGTGTCGTGTTTAGACCATGTGTAGTGAAAGTTCCAGGCAAGTCTGTTGATATCCGTGTGACTGACTCCAGTATTATACCTACTCGTTATACCTACTCGCTGCATTCATTCTGTTGGCCGTTGCGGGTGGAGGACTATATTTTGGCCAAGGTAAGTCATGTTCCGAAGGCTACTAATTATGGTTGTTCATGGTATAACTCATGTTCGACGTTTGATTCAGGGTCGATGTATAACTTAGGCCTATCGGAATCGGTTATTTGTCATACATTTTAAAAATATGTTTGGAGCCGCCGTGCTAATGACAACTCTTTCGATACAAGCAGTACATACTTTACTACTCTATTGTAGGACTCGAGTCCAGGACTCGGACTCGAGTCACATTTTTCGTGACTCGGACTCGACTCGAGTCACATTGGAAAATGACTCGGACTCGGACTTGGACTCGACCATGATGATTCGGACTCGAGCTTGGTACTCGTGACTCGAGTCACGTATATTCATTAAAAGAAAAAAAACACACATAACGTTACGTAATTGTGCGACAAACGTAGCATTCTTTTTTACACGATGGTGTCATGTCATGTCCGGTATCATGGGGTAGGGTTTTTAGGGATGTGAATTAAAAAGAAAACACATTTTGGGTCTAAACAACATGTACACACACAAGGCAAACTGTATACACAGAGGTTTACTTAAAAGACAGAATGGATGATTGAAAAAATAATTTGTGAAAAAAAAATGATTAGTTTGGTTAACAGCTAAGAACATGTGACTCGTGACTTGGACTCGAGGCCGAGAGTCGTGACTCGTGACTTGTGACTCGGACTCGAGGCTTGTGACCCGTGACTCGGACTCGAGCCTTGTGACCCGTGACTCGGACTCGAGCCTTGTGACTCGGACTCGGACTCGACGTTGGTGACTCGACTACCACACTGCTACAAGCAGTAGGCCTATTCATAAAAAACGACACCCTCGCAGCTTTGCTGAAACTCGAGTATAATAAGTCAGAAAAATGAGCACAGTCACATATTATCAAAATGTCATGTTTTTAATAATGATTATTTATAAGTTTTATTTTTGCCAACTTTTATGTACTCCTGTCATGTATGTCCAAATATTTTGTGGAGTACTTCCTGAAATCAGACAACTTCGTTCACAATGGCACAATTATATACCCCTGTATTGTGTCACAATGGCGAAGGTTGCACTTCTCAATGGATTTGTACAGAGTTCAAGGCTCAGTCTGGCTTTTTGTATCGACGCAGTGGTGCGATCATTTTTGTATTCACCTAAAATCACCGTGTTTACCAATTGAACCGATAGGTTTTCTGCTAACTAGCCAACCAAGCTTTAGTTCACACACCCAATCCGTTACGGTACGTTTTAACCTGATCTGCTGCGTTCGACACGTACGGCATTATAGTCTTGTGGTGTTGTTTTAAATTCTAAAAGGTTCAAGTGGCAACTATCTGCTGAAAAAACATAAGACCCCTTTGCGACGAACTGCGGTGGAGGATCATGATATAACAACGTTCAATTTCCAAACGTACGAGTCTGCACTTAATCTAAGTGTTGCCGTGTGTAGGGCCTACATCAATGCGGAAGGAATTATTGAGCGGCCGGAACTCCTTATTAAAATGTTCGTTGTTTTTGTTTTTTTGAGGGGAACAATCATGGGTCAATTTTTTTTTTCATTAGTTATATTATAGCCAAAATTATTGCCTTTATTGCCCAAAATTGGCCCAACCTGTAAAGCACGAACAAAAACAGCATTAACATTTTTGTTTTCTTCAATTATCTCGCTGAAAAAAATGTAAAGAATTCGTATACAGGGCGGCTATTTTTTGTTGCCTAAGTTTTTTTTATAGTGGGGGTGAATGGGCGGGGGCGGGGGCGGGGGCAAAATAAAAGAACGCGAATCGAATTTCAACGCCCGTTGCACTGCCGCAAAAAATATTGCTCTTTCCAGTTCAACACTTGTCTGTATCAGTATTTTTATATCAGTCAGTATCCATGTTTGTGTGTTTTCGTTGAAAATTTGTTCAGCATTTTATGTGCTTGCTGCAGTGCAATATCACTTTCACATGGATAATATAAACATCGCCGTGCACTGTTTCATGTTCCTTCATTTTTGTTCAGTTCCTCTTTCGGTTCACTTGTATTTTTGCTTTTGCTCACACATTCTCTTGTTAATCATTAATCGTCTTGATTGTTTAGGTAATACTGCAAGGTCATTGCTCGGCCAAAGACAATACAGTTTTAAGATCTAGTAAACATGATAGCTTCTGCGAGCTTGTGTTTGTTTTTCCTCGTTAGTCGTATATCTATAATGTTCGACCGAAAAATAACCCGGAAAACTAATGCCCAGGATCTATAGAATCACATTTGGATCGTTTGAAAGCTGCTGCTCTGCCAAAATCAATGTAGCTGTAAGATCTAAATCTCTGATAGCTTCCTTCAACATAAACGTTTCCTGGTGGTTAACCCTATCATGGGCGTCGCTAGGATTTTTTTCTAGAGGGGAGCAAAACATATTTTTGTGCCCAAAAATCCTGTATTTCTCAACATATTCTCGATTTATGAGTTTTACAGGGGGCAGGGACATTCCCCCCCCCCCCGCTCCCGCCCCAACCCATAAAATTTACACCAATATGACGTACGTGGCGCCTCTTTTTCTTTCCTTTTTTTCTCTTGTTTTTCTTCCGTGCGGTGAGTTTGTTTCTGCATTCAATAGGGGACATTAAACAATAGAGGACAATAGGGTCCCCAGTTTCCCGAAGTTTTCCAATTTACGATCGTGTACACTTTAAACATTCGTAATCTTCATTTTGCAAACAATTTGGCCCATACAGGTTTTTTGAAAAACAGTGCAGTGTTGAACCGTCGTCCGGTTCATTTGTTCAAGAATTTTTCAATTGGTTCATAATGCTTTAAGGTTTATCCTTAACGAAAATCAGCTTTCGCACCGTGATTCTGATATGTTGGCATATCTTCGCTGGTCCCATACAGTGGGCCAGCCTGCAGGCCTTTTCTATCTCACTGACTCAATCACTCACCGGCTGCCACTTGCTCTGAGAGTCGGGCAGTGCTGTTATATAGGATTACCCCGTAACGCGTGCTCTATTCGGCTCAGTTTGTAGACCAGATGCATGAAAAGTCTTCCAGTGAATAACTTGAACCAGCTTTACTAAGCGTTTCTGGCGTCGTTTGTTTATTTTAATTAAGGGAATAAAATGTGTGCCTGCCCGGTTTTAAACACTCTGTTTAAGACCGGTTGTAGTCTGCTGATATTTACTCGAACCGAATGGAAATACTGACTCATACTGCGCATGCCTATGTGGGGATTGTGAACGTTCAACCATTAAAACGGTGAAAGGCACCGGATTTCATACAGGGTCCACTCATTGTGACACTGGATAAGTGTTTAAAAGCAGCCAGTCGGTCTTCATCAAACGTTTAAAACCGGCCACGTGATGGGCTCTCGACCAATATGAATGGGTAAACGTCTTAGGCATGTTTATGAATGCTTAATTGATGTATGTATCAAACGCCATGAACCATAAATCTCAGTCGCCTTTTTTTCTTCAGGTTGATCAAAGATGGCGTGTACGATCCGGCACCTGCAGTTAATGCTGGTAACGGTGAGCGTCATAGTGACATCATCGGTTGTATCCAGCCAATTGACGAATGATGAGTCCAACGCATACGATGAGGCATGCTTCGTCCCTCCGTCTAATCGACCTGTTGACGTAGACAAGGTCATTAATTGATCCATCAGATAATTACTTTTTTTTGGGAGGGGGGGGGGAGGGGGTGTTGTGTTGGGGGGCCGCCCGATAGTCTGAAGGTTCTTTAGTCAGAAGGTTTGATAGTCCGAATGCACAAAATTTCCATAAGAGGAGGTTCGTTAGTCCGAAAATGAAATCAGGTTCGTTAATCCGAACATTTGATGCAATAGTCCGAAGGTTCATTAATCCGAAGGTTCAATAGTCCGAAGGTTCAAAAGTCCGAATTTAGAATAAGCCTTCAGTCCGAAGGTTCAATAGTCCGAAACGAAAATAAGGTTCAGTAGTCCAAAGGTTCATTATTCCGAATCGACAATAAGGTTCGATAGTCCTAAAAGCCTATAAGGTCCGATAGTCCGAATCGACAATAAGGTCCGATAGTCCGAATCGACAATAAGGACCGATAGTCCGAATCACCAGTAAGGTTCGATAGTCCGAAGTGTCATACTGACGAACCGCATTGCCCATTCGGACTATCGAACCTTATTCTCAATTCGGACTATCGAACCTTATTGTCAGTTTGGACTATCGAACCGTATATTCGGAGTATCGAACCTTATCATCTATTCGGACTATCGAACTTTATTGTCGATTCGGACTATCGAACCCTATCGTCTATTCGGACTAACGAACCTTCGGATTAATTAACCCTTATTCTATTTTCGGATTAATGGGCCCTCGGACTATCGAACCTCGGACTATTGAACCTTCGGACTAACGAACCTTCGGACTATTGAACCTTCATAACGAACCTTCGGACTAAAGACTCTTCAACCTTCGGACTGTCGAACCTTCGGACTATCGGGCTGTAACCGTTGTGTTGACAACTGCACCAGAGCAGGAGCAATAGGTCGTGGGTGTATAGTCCCACTCGAATTAACATGTCATTTTTTTTGTTCGCCAGCTGTCTGAAAGCACAGTATACGGGCGAGTCAGAATGATCTGGACCCAAATTAAAGGAAATGATAAATATATGTAGCAATAAATCATCAAAACAAGTGCAAATGAGATATGCTACAGGCTGGTATTGTGGATAAATTTGGTGCAAGTTTCATGTATATCCACTATACCATTTTGAAGAAAAGGGTTAATAAAGAACGCAAACAGCATTACGACCACGGTTCCATGGTTCAACAAAATTTATAGAAATCGTGTACTGATGTGAGGCAGTGTAATAAATAAATAAAAGCTAGTCACGGTGACCGACTCACTTGAAGTTATTGACACATTTAAAAAAAAAAGGCAAAACCAATTCCGTATGCATACTGGAAAATGAGCCACTTCAATGAAAATGGCATAACTCCTCACCACCGCCACTAAAGTATTTGACTAATTCAAAATTCCTGTGGAAGACAAGGCAATAACCATTCATATGAAACACTCAGTTTTTTTTCTTAATATACTCTATTTCATAAAACAAAAAATGGTAAAGTTGGGTCCAAATCAAAATAACTCATCCTGTACTTGTAGTATAACATAGCCGAGAGCAAAACTCAACATTCAAAGGCATATCGGAGCTATTTGTTTTTCGTGCAATTTGTTCGTTTCATTCTAACACCACTCAAAATCGAAAGATAAAAGAAGAATGTTCAGAACCCACGTCATATTACACTATTTGAGAAAAGTAATAGTGAAAAGAAACACGGTTTCATCCACAGCACTCTTATATACACTGTAAACACTAATGGGTAAAACACTGTTGGGCAATATAATTTTACCCAACATTGGTTTGAAATTACCTCATTTGGGTAAAAATTGTCCAACTATTTGGGAAGAATTTGCCCAAGAATTCAACCTGTTGATATGTTGACCAACGATGGTCTATACATATCAACCCATTTTGCAGTATTAAAAACAAATCACCTACATTTCTCGGTTTCTTCTAAATGACAGCCAGGCAGGCGGAACAGTTTCACAGGTTGTTTTAACACCAGTTATAGTAGTCCTACGATATTGAACGCAATTAAGTTTTATGATAATTAGGTATCCTTTGGGATAAATGCAAATGATCCTATATGCCTTTAAAGAAGCCACATTTACTTTTTCATTCCAGCGTCAACTTCATGTTAACGAAGTAATGCAGACAGCTAGCTCAACGAACCAACCAACCAACAAATACTAATTTACTGAACCGCATTTCTATCTTTTGTACACTTTAGCTTTTCCTGATAAACGTTTCTCTTCCGTCATCCGTGACACATGTGGATTTGAGATACTTGAGCTACCCTAACGGATCGTGTGAGTGGCTTGCATAGTTTGTCTTTCCCGTGACAAGTTGGTTAAATTTGCTAGTAATAATACAAATTTACTCTTAAAAAAATATGAAAATATTTTTTTTTTATTACACGGTGCTATTTACGACTTATGCAAATTAGTCACATTCCCAAAAGAATGTCAGGTGTCACCTTTTCTAAATATCGTCTTTAGGGCTGTAAGAATCTATCTGCCAAGCTTGGTGCTTTGGACCAGTCGGTCACGATTCCGACTATATGCCATCTTATACTCGCGCCATTCCCTAGACTTAGCGTAAATACAAGAAAAGATGATTTTTTCCCCCAAGCTATAAGGGAGCTGAATAAGAATCAGACAAACAAACAAAACTCCCTCGTGAATATTTATAAACGGGTCAAAAGCTCAATATTTGTAAACGAAGAAAGGGATTATCATGAACTTGCTAGAATTTCACTTCAAAAGAATGGAACCCTCATCAGCGCAATGCCACCGCCGGACGAAGGTCGCGCGTCGCGAAACAGTTAATGAGACAGAATGGGGCAAGTCTGGTTAGGTTAATTGTTTGTACGAGAGTGGCTCTGAATAGTCAACTGCTTTATACGAATGAAATGTATCGAAAAGAGTGACGTAACAGCATTCGTGTGAACAGCGCGATGCAGTTTTGCGCAGCTAGCTTTGAAAAACAAAACACTGAACTCCCACTGCGGGAATCAATGGCCCGATCTTATTGCAACTGAATACAATGCACATCGTGTTACAGAGAAGCGCCTACTGAAATAGCCTAGTGGTTAAGCTGTCTGACAGCAGACCCAAGGTTAGGGGTTCGAATCCCCACGGTGTCATTTTTTGTTTTTCAGCGCACGCGGCTTTGCTATTTAATTTAAGAGTATTAGTTTCCCGTCGTCATTCACCAACAGCAGTTAGCTCGGTCGGTCGGTAAGCTGACTCACAAGTTGGGACTGTCTGCGAAGTCCAGGTTGGCGTCTGCGTATAGGTACGGGGTTCTTTTGCTGACTCGGCAGCAAGGCTTAGGGTGCCACCTCGTTTCCTCCCTTTATGGTGCCTGACTTTCGAGTTACATGGATGGACAGGGAAGGAGGTGTGGTGGGCCGGGTACCGAGTCCCGGAAGAGTTCTATATGGAAGTCGGTAAGGGGCTCATTGAGTTAGGGTCATAAGTCCGACTCCTGAAGACTTGGCCATCGCCACATAACTTTTTTTGTTTTATTTTTGTCTATCCAAGCTAGGATGATTGCAAGAATGATTAATATGTTATATTGAGAGCTTGTTCTTGCTTGAAAATCCAAAATAATGCATATAACGTAATAAATAAAGAATTGGCCCCCTCGACACCGAAAGTCTAAAAATTTGTTATATTTAGTACCCCAGCAGGTTCCGTATAATCGTGGGTCGCGCGCAAATCGTCGCAACTAAATTTTGCATCAAAATGTTGGTAAAAGACTGTGCTATAAGCAAATGTAGGAATGAAGGCGGAAATCGGCAGCCATCTGTAGACCTATTTCCCATGTTGTCTGAAAAGACTTTTGAATTTGAAGTTAATTTTGATACATCGGCAGACGGAATGCGACTGGCCAACGTCACTGCACCGGTAGTCGCGGTAGCGGCAGTAGACGCGGAAAGGAACTGAAGATGAGTAGGAACTGATGACACCTGTAATAAGGCTGATGGGGAAATTAAAGTGGAATTATGAAAACGAAACTTGTTGGATAAAATATCACTGGAAGTTCAGAGCGTGTGCAGTACGGGGCCGGGGCGGCGGAACGGGGGGGGGGGGGGGGAGGGGCAGAGGTTTGTTTGTTTACCCAAGCGGTCCCGCTTGCGGACATAAGTTTGCCCCTCGAGCATAAATGTGCCCCCTTCAGATAAAAACAAAAGTGGCCCTAAAATTTCTGATAATTTGTTTTCAGTAGCCATTTCCAAAAAAATGGTATAGAGAGTTCTGATACGAACGAGGAATATGAAAACCAAGCCCCAAAACCGTTACATTGCGCCCCGACTTGGAAATTGGCACATTATGCGTGGTTTGCGGAATGGCCGGTTTTGAAGAGCGCCCCCTATTTTGGAAGATGGTACTAGGTCCCCCTCCCAAACCACTGTTTGATTTTACGGAGGCCAAGTGTCAGGTGAACAAAAAAAACGTGTTGACATTTCAGCACGGATGTGCCAAAAATAAAAAATACTGAGCAAGTGCCCCTTTTCGGTGATGCCCCCATCTTATTTAACTATACATTTTTTATTGGATGAGAAATTGTACATTTTGCAAGATTTAACTGCTGTCTTTTGTTTCGTTTTGCGTTCCTGTAGGTGGAATCGACACATATGTACTTGTGCCGAATACTAACCTTTACATCCAGTTCAAGGAACTAATTGAAAGGGAAGTAGGGAAATTTTTCAGCTACTGCAATTACACCGACGACATCAAGCCACAACAGTTCCATGGCAAAATATTGTCACTGGGCCTAGGTATGTAGCCAACAACATAAAATACTATATCAACATTGTCAAAGTTCGTCTTCACGGTACTGAGCACATCCTCTTCATACTGTAAACAACTGCTTCGGCTCATGCTTCCGATACTGCAAAAAATCTCCTAGTAGGGCTATTCCAAAGTTGCAGGCGTAAGGTGGCTTCCCCCCCCCCCCTACCAGTGATGAAATCTTGATCCTGTGAAGTTGAGTTTTGTTTCGATTGATTTGGGCTTCCCTGATATCTTGAGGTAGGAGATTCCATTGTTCATTGGGAAGGTTACACATTCGGTGTAAATTGCCGGGCCGGCCACCATACCATGGCTCCGTGAGAGGAAAGCTGACTTGATTAAAACAGTCTTCATCACTCTTTGTTGCACGGTGGGTGAATGAAGGTGAAGATGATTTCCGTGTTTTTATTTGTAGGCCTACCCCTTCTGAGTTCCACCAATCAAATGACAAGGATATGTATATCGGTTGTTTAAAGACTACTAATATAATCTGGCGATGGCATATAGCCCCATAAATGTGGCCAATTTACTGGACTACCTCCGTAAATAAAGGCCACACTTGGAACATGTACCCGAAAATGTAGAACTTTGTCAAGTTTTTTATATTCAAACTGAGACTTTTGTGTAGTTTATTTATGCTTTAGAAGCACACTCACCCTCTGTAAAGCGATAGAAAATGTATTCCCCTTTTTCAGACGTATATTTTTCGTGTAATTTCGTGTTGGAATTTAGGTATAGTATACGCTAACGTGTGCAAAATGAACCGCGTATGAGAACAACACTGCCCTATGCACCGTGCTGGTGCTGTAAACTCTAGGCCTAACTTGAGCATTTTAAATCTTGCGTTAAATTTATACGAACGATTCGCTTGTATCTACAATTAATTCCACTTTCTCTCATCACAGTCTCTCAGAAAAGCATTCCTGAATGATCCATACATATCTCTTTAAAAAAATTCGGAACAATGGTTTGTAGGACCTCTGGAATGAACGCCCTCTAGTAAAATATCCATAAGAAAGATGAACACTTTTTTTTGTGGTGGCGCGCCTCGGCCTCGTTTTATCCCTAATAAAAGTAATAATCGACAACGTAAACACGAGTGCTGGTTTGTAGCTGGTTTTTTTTGCATGATTTTGCATCAATTCACTTGGAAAACATACGATTTTTTTTTAACTAAGATATATATTGTTTTGTAGAAGTTCTGGGTGTAAGGATTGTTCAGAAAGGAGGAAATTGAAATGGAATTTTTGGAACCAAATGCTAAAATCGTTCATACTTTTCATAATATCGCGTCCCGGCCCCTGTCATTAACGGGAATGCTATAGAACTCTTTTTTTCTTCGAATTTTGTCTTTGGTCGGTCGTCACTATAGCGCCCCCCCCCTCCCCCCCCCCCAGCCGTTTCAAATCATAGGAAATTGAATTTGTATTTTCACGAACATCCAGCTCAAAATAACAAAAGGTGCAAAAATCACCGCAAAAGTATATATCATAGATCCAGTAATTCCCATCCCTAGCCCTTCATGATTGGTCAGGAACCAGTTTGTAGCGTCACATAAACATTCTGGTAAAATCGGCCCTCCAAAGTAACATTAACGTTTTTGACGCAATTGGCTCTCCATAGCCCAACACGCCACTACATGTGTATTGACCTCGTTTTTTTGGCTGGTGCTCTCTGTTGCCTTTTCAGCCAGTTTATCTACACTTTTTCGTCACCAAGAGTTATATTTTTGTTTATCATCGTTTCTAGATTGTGGTAACTCCAGTATTATCGGCATCTCGATCGCAGTTTTCGACGAGATGCCGTCCTTTTGTTAATATTACTACTAACTTGTGTATGGACCCATCATGGCCACTCTCATGTGCGCGTATTATAGCCCCATAAATGTGGCCAATTTACTGCTGCCCTCCGTAAACATATAGGCCACACATCCACATGTACAAAAACCTGTCGCACTTTGTCAAATTTTGATTTTTCACATTTAGGCTTAGTTTGTAGGTTTTTTTTGCTTTAGAAGCATACTCACCCTCTTTATAGGCTAATCAGAAAGTGCTGCCTTTTTCAGATGTCTAAGTAATTTCTGTGAAATTTCATGTTGAAAGTTTGATACACAAATGTGTGCAAATGAGTCTGGAAATTTCACGAAAAATAGACATCTGAAAAAATGTGGATGTGTGGCCTATGTTTACGGAGGTAGTCCAGTAAATAGGCCACATTTATGGGGCTAACGTCTTGCAAAACTAAGTTGAAGCAGCCGGTCAAAACTGATTGAGTGGCTAAGACAGCAGTACGTTATACGCATGACATCGACAACCTTGACATCGCATGAGCCAGCCAATGATAGTGCAATTATACGTCATTATGAATATTTATTTTCTCATGAATTTTAGTTTATTTCAATGGCTACTTCAAATACGTCCAAAGATTGCAACAGCGATCGTGCGCGGCCTAGCGGTTAAGAGTCTGGTGTTTCAAGCCAGAGTTCGAGGTTCGAATCTCGATGAAAAGTGACTGATTAATAAATAGAAATAAAGGAAAGGAGAGGGTGAGAGTAGAGGAGGGAAAGTGGAGTGAATAACCATAAAGGATGCAACTTTTGGCGCTTGGAAAAAAGGTGGTGATCCAGTATGGAATTTTTTCAACTATGCAACTTTATGTCGACATGGGTTCCCAACTATACCCAAGTTCTGTCGTTCGAGATGCAGGCAGGAATTGAGCTTTGAAGTTTGAGGGAGAATGCAGGTCAACTCGGTCCGAGTCAACTCGATCCCATCAACTCGGTTCCAGGTCTACTGGAACTGGGTCCCAGGTCAACTTGGTCCCAGGTCAACTCAGACCGAGATGGTTTGGGACCGAGTTGACTCAAAACCCAATTATCATGTGTGGCTATTCGTACGGTACATTAATGTCATAGATAAAATCCCATATCGGTCCGTAGCCTGTAGGCTTATGTAGAAAAAAAACATGAGGAACGATGTCATGTGTAGTGGCATTTTGGAAAGGGAAAGATTCCCATATCTGGCCATCACTAATTTTTCCCTTCAGTGACCTATCAGCTATCAGAAAGTGATAATATGTCCTAAAAAGTCAAAATTAGCAGGGAAAATATTGCAGTACATTTGTATTCACAGAGAAAACACTTAGAAATTTTCAGACCAGTCTCATAGTCATACTAGGGTTTGTGCACAGGGTGACAGGTGATGGCCAGACACCACTTCTTTGGAGTTTGGGTGTGTACAAAGTCTATGGAGAGTTGAGTGCGTCAAGTTTTTTTTCTAACAAAATTGGAAATGCTTCGGTCCCACTCCCAGATTCATCATCTTTGCAACATTTTTGCAATGACTGACCTCTATTGAGAAACTCTATGAATGATGAAAAAAGTGTATCAGGATGCAACATTCTCCCCATACAGTTAAGGCCAAAAAAAAAAGTCTCCGGTTTCTGGTATGGAGCTTGCCCAAAAAGTGGTGCGGCGACGCGGCTTTTTTTTTTTTTTTACCTGATTTTTTTGCTTCAAATGTCGGCTGATGACTGCAAATGGTGCCCGACTAAACTTAGTGCAAATATATGGGAGTCCAGAGAGGCCACATAAAGCTTATTCTCGACCATACCCCAATCTAAAAACACGTTAAAATTGTGCAGCAGCAGGATTCCAGTCAAACCAGTGAGTTTGGCGGTTTTGAGACATCATCTTTCATTGAAAAAAAAACTTTTTCATTTTGCCGACGCGCATGGCTACGGCGACGCGCGCGCATACCAGAAACCGGAGACTTTTTTGTTTTGGCCTAATACACCTTATTTATTGCTCTCAGCGCTGTGATTTAACTCTTACAAGTTACAGTGTACATATTGTGGCGGGAACCCCCGGGCCAACCCAAGTCTGTTAGGATAAGTCTGACTCCTAGTGGGGTGAAGACAATCTTCCCAAACCAAGGCTCTTCCCTAGACGAGAGATCACTCAGAGCGACCTTCAAGGCTAAGGGTGCAGGTCCGTTTTGGTGGAAATCTACCGCCCGATTATGAATGAGTGTTGATTATTTATCTCTGTTAATTAATTGCACAATAAACCTGTAAACATAAACACTGGAAGCAGAATTGTCGGTAATCTCAAACAACAATGATCGTAATTTATTCAACAATAATCAAGTACAACAATTAGGATGTGATTCGGTGGGTTGTTTTATTAACAGGGTCCTTAGTTACTGGAGAAAGCCCGCTGCTTGCCTATGCAACAACGCACACAGCATTAAGCACCAGACAACAATGGCAGCAATGAGCAACTATGCACAGCGCTAGGAATGAATCACTGAGTCAGCAATACACAGCGTTACAAGCACACAACAGCCGCTTAGCAATGTATACAGTCCGTTAGCAGGGTACTCGCTACGCCGTGTGTGTAAGCAAGAATCCAGCTACACATACCAGCGCGACCCCAGTACAGCTACACAGACTTTGTACACAAATCGCCTAAGCAATTTCACATAAGCAGGGTACCAGTAATTCACCTACTTCTCTGCCCGCTGTCGCAGCTACACCCGGCACTCAACACTCTAAACAGATGAGCCCCAAAACTATACACTCAACAAGCTATAGTATCTCACCTAACAACGATCTCCACAACTAGCAGCAATCAGTCCCAACAACTAAGCTAAACCATGTACCAATGCGCGTTCTAAACCCAAACTGCTAAAACCAAAGCGCGCTCCCCAGGCACGCATTTATATACCAGGTACATGTAGACGCTACGTCATGTCTACAAACCATGTGCGTGTACTAATCCTATGGTGCGCTAAACTTATGGGAGTTATTGGCCAATCACGTACGCGCAGCAGCCCACGGAGCTCGTAAGCTCCGCCCGGTCACTGCACACAAGTGATTAAGTGTTAGTGCTATGGTATGACGTCACAACTAAACACTTTCCGCCACAAGGGCCCGAGCATGGCAGAGGATGTCCCCATACTCTAAAGCCATAATACAAAAATAAAAGGAAAGTGTGACTACATCTTAACTGCGTCCAACTAATTCAATACAAAACTTAAAGCTTAACTTCAACCATAAAATTCAAAAGAAAACATCAGGCTTAACTTTTTCTTTGAATTACAATAGAAAACATAAAGTTTAACTTCATCTTTGAAATTCAAAAGAAAACATAAGAGAGGAAGCTGATATTAAAGTTTATTAAATATTCACAAAATATAACATGTACCTTCCTCACATGTACTTTACATGTGTACATGTGCTTAACATGTGCGAAATATAACATGTACCCTACCTACATGTAACTAACATGTACAAGTGTTTCACATGTGCAAGAACACCAAAATTCAGCTCATTAAATATGCACAAGATTCTAAGTGCATAGTATAACGTGTCGAAAATCCATGTACATGTACAACTTCACCAAAATTTGCTAATTAAATATTCACATGATTTCACAGGGATTTATCGTACAGCATCTGAATCAAAATTTTGCTCATTAAATATTTACAAGAAATTTAAGGAAATTTATACTCGTCTGGCTCAAATTTTAGTTTATTAAATATTCACAAGAAATTAGGGGAAATTTGCACTTATTTTACACAGATTTAAAGCTGAAATTTAAGGATAATTTTAGACTGATGAAATGTACACTAATTTTGATTGCAAGATTTTCGCAAATTGAATTTTACATGATTTAACTGGGTTATTTTTACAGAGTCTGAACAACGAATTTTTCAATTAGATAAATACACTTTTTTTTTCCTTACCGACAATAAACTTTTATAAAAACATTTAAGAACTTGGAACTGTTTAAAACCTTAGAAAACTTAAGAAACCTTAGATAAACAAAACAAAATACATTAAACTGGAACACGTCGTTCACTTGTCGACGGGACGCCCGTTCTCATCAACGGACACTTGCTTGCAGCTCATCCGGTAGTTCTCTTCGGGAGACGATGATGTTGCCATCCGGCCACGTCTGAGATGATGACTGGACCCGCACAGTTGCCGTCCTCATCTTCAACAGGGGGGATGTCTCTCTGGAATTGGACACTTCGGGGCGTGGCTGGGATTGCCTCGCCACCTCTTCCATTGGGGGAATGGAGGATGCGGGGGACGAAACAGGGGAGACTGGAGCCTCATCCCTTGGACGACCTCAACAACAAATCTGGACTCTAACGATACCGCAGGGGCAATTTGTGGGCCCGTCTTGGGTACCGTCTTGGTGCTGACTCATCCTGCCGTTCTGACTGATCGGCTGGACTACCCGGACTCAAATCTTCAGTGATGGAATCCTCCACAGGAACCTCATTTTCGGCCACTTCAGCCAACTCCTCAGACGACTCTCTGTCATCTTGAACCTCGGGGATTGCATCCATGGGGAGGCTTTCTGTCACCTCATCCCTGGACTGACAATCCCACGGTTCGATTGCCTCACCGACATACGGTTTTAGTCGGTCTACATGGACTACCTTTGGCTTACCACCACGCTAAGCTGGATTCTAACTGTCACATCTGACAACTTCTTGACAACAAGCCATGGTCCTTCCCACCTAAGTTGTAGTTTGGGGGACATGTGCTTTTTCTTCGCAGGGTTGTGTAGCCACACAAATTGGCCCTCTCTCAACCCATGCTGAGACGCTCTCCTGTCAAAATTCTTCTTTTGCCTCCGGGCACTTTTCCCGAGACAATTCCTCGCCCTATCGTGGGCCTCCTGCATATTACTTCGCAATGTTTCAGCGAAGTCTGCAGTGGCTTCCACCTCAATCTCAGGA